TCTGTTATATAATCTGTACATGTTTGTGATTCAAAAGCAAGATAAAATTTTGATGTTGTTAAATAAAGTTTTTCACAAGATGATTGACGACCACATGCCTTTCCCGATTGAGCGCGTGCATTCAGCGATAAAGATTCATTCAATGAAATACATTTACCAAAAGCTGCTATTGGATAATGATGACGAAATGAACGAAATTTTTGTAAACGTTTTTGAGGTCGACAGTTGGATACAAACCTAAATAAAACAAAAAAGATATTTGACCTTGAATTGTCTACCTCAATTTTTATCTTTAAGCTTAAACTATCACTGATCTACGTTTTTAATAAATGCCTGTGAAGTTTCAAGGTTGATATATCGTTTTTGTTTCAATATTTACATATCAATCCGACTAATCTGTTCTTCATTTTTCTAGTCTTCTAATTGTCACTTTTGATTAAAAGAGTTCTCAAAACAAATCAGATAAAAATTTTGACATATTGAATGCTTCAGTTATTTTTCTTATTACACATTCGACTCCATCGAAGTCGAAAATAGTCTTAGGATATGAAATGAATTAATTACCAGACTGCTTGATTATGTCTTTTTTTAAATTGTTTATCAATCCATGAATTTAATTGTTGATGAGACCATGGCTTTTCTTTAACGATTGTTATACCATAAGCACCTAATGATGCTTCAGCACTTGTTCGATATGTTATAGTCCAATTAAACTTATATTTATTAATATTCTCGGAATTTTCATTAGATTCATCATGCCATAGAAGCCATATTTGTTCGTAATTTCTTTTCATGGTTTCCAATTGTTTAAAATTTAAATCTCGTTTATGCATTAAAAGTACATCAGCATCTTTTTCACGTTTAAGATCACATGTATATTCACTAATGAGAAAAAAAAGATATTATTTTATTTACGAAAAAATATTTATTAAATTTACCAATTTGTAAAAGGACATGTTTTACCAAATATTTCTTTTTTTGTATTCGAACAAAAACGTGGATGTTGAAAAACATGTGTAAATTCAAGTATTAAATAAGAATTTGATTGAGATTTATTATTGATTAATGGAAAGATTATTTTTTGTTTTTTATCTATTGCTTTTATATCATCAATAGCTTTTAATTCATCTTTTTTCTTAAAATAATATAAAATACTTGTATTACGATTAGTTTTCTTGAGAATATCTATTGGATATATAACATTCGTAAATAGAATTTCAAAATTGCTTGGATAATCATCGATGGAAGAATAAATGTATGAATTTAAATTCAATGGATTTAATGAAAGAAATATAAAGAAAAATATGAATCCTATTACAGGCCATTTGAAATGTAAAAAATATTGACGCCAAGTAAGATTTGTTGATCGTTTAGTATGAATACGTTTATTCATTGTTTATTTTGTATTGGAATGAATGATTTTTTTCACTAGAGAAAAATGAAAGTTTACTAAAAAATCTTATCTTATCTATTTGCATATATATACGAAAAGTAAATAGGGTTTTCATCGAATTAATCCCTCATAAAATCTTGAAAATTCAATTATAAAAAGTATTTAGTATATTTCTCATGTTTCTTCTTACTGAAAATTAACATCATAACAAACTATTATCTATATTCTGTAAAGAACAATCTTTCATCATCTGCAAAAATTTTATCTAATTATTATCAGAAAAAAAAATAGAAACTCTTCAGACGACAGTTGTTCTAAACGATAAATTAATAGTAGATCTAGTAAGAAAAAAACTATTTTCAAATAATATTCATTATCATTATTGTGAAGAAAAAAGAATTATTAATACTTTTTTAATAAACGACATCACCTACCTGTTTGAATAGAAAAAATAAATATAAATCTTAATAATGTATTTCAATAAACATCCGCTCCTAAATGATTTTTCTTACAAAATTATCAGTGAAAAACTAACTTTATATTTAGATTGATGTGACTTTAATATCCTGTTTATTTCCTCACTAATGTAAATTTTAATTTATATTCGTAATTAATATATTTTTTACCGGTTAAATTTTTGTTTCGTTGCTTGTGTATACGTTTAATGTAATATTAAAGTGCATGCCACTGAAATAGTAACAGCGACGAACCTCAAGCACCAACCAACATCGATGAATATTTTTTTTCTTTTGTTTGAATGCTTTTTCTTTGGCATTTTTCTTTTTCTTCCTCTCCTTCGTGTGTGTGGAATTATTTACGTCCGAACGCTGAACATAACGAGTACTTTTTTTTTCTTATAATGCCATCCGCAGCCGTTCTCTTTTTCCTTTCTCTTTTCTTCCAAAACTGGTAATTCGAACCTATACGACGACGAATATGAGAGAGAACGCGACACATGATATTCTCTATTATTATTATTTCACTAATATAGTATATAGTTATAAATTGATTAGTTATATGTTAACAAACAAAAAAAGGAAACACTCAATTCAGTTATAATATTCTTGTTAAATATATATGCGAAAATAGGAAAACAACAAAATCACAATCCATAAATTCTGTAATGAGAGGCGTTTTTAAATATTTGTTCGAAGAAAAAGAAATTATACATGAATGTTCTGCACATTTATATATAAAAAAAAGTTATATATTTATTGTTTATAGCAATAATATTATCTCGTGTCATTCGTTGGTGTACTCTGCTGTTTAGATTTTTTATCACGATGAGTATCTTTCGATGTTGTTATATCATCATCGTCGGTATCACTTTTACCACTATGACCTCCAGATATCATAAAAGGTGATTGTGAACGATGAAGTAAATTTAACACTTTTGTTTTTTCAAACAAACCAATAAAACTATGAATATATTCTTTACTTCGATCTTCCCAACGTTCCATAAATGTTTTCGATTCCTCTTCATATGTACGGAATTTTGATTTAACTGTATCTATTTTTGATTGAAATTCTAATTGATTTTTTTTTAAAAAACCAACATTTAAATCTTGTGCAGAATAACCACGTGCTAAATTTCGTCGAACATACATATCGTAATCACGAACAAGACGACAGATAATATCAGATGTTGATACACCTTCTGTACGTTGAGTTGCAACGAACATACCGCGTGCCTAAAAAAAAATAATTTATATATTAATTATTAATTCTCATTGTCAACAATATTTTTGATGGGTGGAACATTAAACCCACATAGTCGATTATTACTATTATAATGGATTTTTTTCCCATTATGATGAGAAATTATAGCTAAAATTACATGATAGTGCAACAGCCGGTTGCATGAAAAAACAATTGTGACTGCTAAGTATAGTGCAAAAACTGTATCTATTGTCAAGTCGACCTATAAACTTACTTTAATATGTTGATAAATATCATCACTACCTTCAGCTCCATATGGAATTTCATCGTGAGCAACAAAATCAATTTTATTTTGTGTTAAAAATTCATCATCGAGTACCCATGGTGCATCGATAACAACTTCATCCACATAACGACAATGACGTACACTTTCATAACGTTCAGCTTCATCCATAACTGTTTTACCTTTTTTACTATGTGTTAAATCATCATTACAAACACCAACAAGAAGATAAACATTTTTAAAAATATTTTTTGCTTGCATTAATTGTCGAGCATGACCAGCATGAAATAAATCATAAATACCTGAAAATTAAATTTTTTTTTAAATAAAAACAAAATCTATTGGATATTTTTTACCATCAGCATAAATACGAATTTTTCTTGGTGCTGTTTCATTTTTTGCCATATCTAATGTAATTTTTGTTGAATAATCACAATTTTCACGTTCTTTTATAGCTTTATCTTCATAAGATAAAGGTGCTGGACCTAAATTGAGATCAACATTAATATCAAGATTTTCAGCAAATTGCATTGAACGTTTTTCATCAGTTCCCGTATTTGCTTTCTTTTTCGATTCGTCTTTAGATGTCAAATCATCCGTTGGACTATTTTCTGCTGATGCATCATGCCATTCATCAAGATTTGAAGCAGTAGGTGTTGTAGGTACTGGTTTATTAGCCATTTGATCTCTAAAAATATGAATAAATCAATCTTGTTGTTTATTTGTAAGAACAGAAAAGAAAAATCAAAAAGAATGTATTAAAGTGTAACAGATAATATCGAATTACATATGACATAGATTGATTGAATAGATTGAATTAGATTTTTCGAAATTTACCATAAAAAAAATACTAATTATATATGGAAAATGTAATTATAAAAAAATGTATTATTAAAATATAACATACGTAGATAGATGGCGGTAGTTTTCATAATGAATATGATATGATTGATTTATTTAATTAGACTAGGATTGATTAGTTGTTTTTTTTTCCATTTCATATAAGAAAATTAAAATTATAAATTTGTAGATATTACATCTATATCAAAAACATAGATTTAAGGATTGAATGGCTATTGTGTATTGTTAGACGTGTCCTCCTAAGTCCACAAATAATGAGTCATTGAAATTTTCATTTGTTCTGTTCACTTCTTTTTTTTTGTTCTTTTAAAAAATAAAATAAATAGAAGAGAGAGTTCAATACAGTTTTGATTGAATGTCGATCTATTCACAACTGAGTTCAATCATTTGATATGATTGTGATGTGACACTTCCGTTCGTTGATCACCATGTACACACTAAACAAATATGAGAGATGTGTAACATAAGCGTGTATACGTGATGAAAAGAGTTGTTGACGACTCAGTTAACACTTGTCTGTTCGTTTTATAACGAATATTTTATATGGACATATTTAAATCTATGCTTGAACTTATAAACCACAACTTTACTTTCTTTTTTTTTATCTAGATTTTACGTTCAAATTCATTTGATAGAACGATGTCGACAAAGCATAGTCACAATGGCAATACTACTTCACCGCCGAAAACAGAAGTAAGTTGTATTTATTTCTCGCTCTCTTGATCTAGCGTTTCCTTTCTCTTCTGACAGAACGAAAAAATAGCAAAAAAAAAGAAAAGAAAAGAGGACTAATAAACTTATAGTTAGATAGATAGTTTGCGGGAAGGAAAAAAAAGAAGAAAAAAAAAAGAAATGTCTAGTCGCGAGATGTTGATAGTAGGAAAAATATATTCCTAGTCAAATAACTCTCTCACTAATCTAAAAAACAGTAAACATGAACATGATGTCGTCATCTATATCAGATACTGAAGATCAAGCAACTTCTTCTAATGCTTTTTTTCATTATATTCCGACAAAAATTGATACGGATCCATTAGCATATCATTCGAATCCTGAATCAAGTTTTTATGTTATTAAAAATGCACAACAATCATCATCTTCTTTTCCTTCTGCAAATTCAAATACACTAAGAGCAGGAAATGCACGAACATTATTTACTGTTATTCCTCCAATGCCACAGGACACCGTGGCTAGACCTCATGTAACGTATCAATTGATATGTTTTGCTTTTTTGTTTGATGTCTACCAATTAATAGATACATTTTTATTAAACTATATATTTCCTTTAATAGACATCTCAACAACGTTTATTGATTAAAGGCGGTCGTGTAGTTAATGATGATGGAACAACACTTGCTGATGTATTTATTGAAGATGGTGTAATCAAGTAATTTATAAATTAAAACCATCTTTTTTTTCTCTATTATGTAATCCTTTCGTTTTAGACAAATTGGTCTTAATCTTGTTGTTCCTGCAGGAACAAAAACCGTTGATGCATCAGATAAACTGGTTATGCCAGGTATTTATGAGAGAAATAATTTTATTTTAAATACAAAAAAATTCATTTTTCTTAAGGTGGTATTGATACACATACGCACTTTGAATTGCCGTTTATGGGTACACGATCAGTTGATGATTTTCTTACTGGTACTCAAGCAGCTATTGCTGGTGGAACAACAACTATTCGTATGTATAATTAAGAAGAAAAAAGTTTAAAATCGCGCTGCTTTCGTATTTGTTGTTAATTCTGTAAAATTCATTGAAGGATTTTCATAAGCAAATGTTTGCATTTGTTGGTCTAATTCAAGAATTGCTAGCCGTCGTGGTGATGCTAAAAGTGTCATATCATTATGATAATTATTATTAATAAATGATGTCGATAAATTCGAACGATATAGTTTATTAGTATAGACTGAATGAAGAGAATTTTCTTCTTTTGATATAGATTGTGTATGATGAGAACGTTTATAAAAATATGTTTTTATTATTAATATTATTGTAATAAGTAAGAACAATGTACCAGCTGTAGTTCCAACAATGATAGCAATAATATTGGTCATAGCATATCTAATATTAAACAAAAATAACGAGTTATTGAAATAAATAAATAATAATAAAAAAAAAGTATTTCTTCTTCCTTTTTTTTTATGCCTCGTTTTATGAGTTCGATCGTGATGTGTGAAGTAATAATAAAACCCTTATTTTCTTTCACTTGTGATAGTGAACTTGTCAATATTTTTTTTTTCAATGTATTCTTTTGTTCACCTGACCTGTCCAATTAACTTCTTATGTCCAATAAAAAGAATCTGTTCTCACTCAATTAACGATATTATCGTCGATCATGATGATGATATCATCAGCTAAGACGACAGATGATAAAAGATATATCTCATTCACCCTATATATATATATATATATACGTACTCATCGAAATGAACATGCAATCGATAAAAATGAAAAAAAAAAGAATAAAAACAAAATATATTACATCATTTTCGTTCTTGATCTTCGTTTTAAATCAAGTGATTAACTATGTATTATTCTTTCAATTCCTATCGATTAGTTATTACATCACCTATACTACGTTTTATTTTCTAGTTGATTTTGTTATTCCGTCAAAAGAACAATCACTTGCTGAAGCATATACACAATGGCGTGAAAGAGCTGATGCTAAAGTTTGTTGTGATTATGGTTTACATGCTGCTATTACAACATGGAATGATCAAGTTGCTAAAGATATGGAAACACTTACGAAGGAAAAAGGAATCAATTCATTCAAAGTATTTATGGCTTATAAAGGTGTTTTTATGTTACAAGATGATGAAATATTTCAAGTTTTTGCTAAATGTCGAGAACTTGGAGCTATTGCAATGGTACATGCAGAAAATGGTTCAGTTATTACTGAATTAGAAAAAGAAATGTCGGTATTAGGTATAACAGGACCAGAAGGTCATCTTCTTAGTCGACCAGAAAAAGTAAAGAATAATAATATTCGTCTACAGTTTGTTTTAACAATAGATTGTTTTTTGATTTAGTTGGAAGCGGAAGCTACAAATCGAGCTATTACTATTGCTGAAGAAACTCGGTAAAATATTTAATTTTATATCTTATGATTCATTTCGTTCTTATATTTAAAGATGTCCACTCTATGTTGTACATGTAATGAGTAAAACAGCTGCTGATAAAGTAACCCAAGCTCGATTAAAAGGTAAAATATGCTCTTTATATGTATATATATAATCTGTACTATTTAATTAGGTCAAGTTGTCTTTGGTGAACCTATTGCTGCAAGTTTAGGTGCGGATGGTTCTCAATATTTCAATAAATGTTGGCGTCATGCAGCTGCTCATGTAATGTCACCACCTTTACGTGATGATGCAGAAACAGGTCCTTATCTTATGGATCTTTTAGCTAAGTAAGTACTATTATTGTTTATCAATTTATTTAAATATGAACGACTTGTTTTCTAGTGGTACATTATCAGCAACTGGTACAGATCATTGTACATTTAATGCAAATCAAAAAGCTCTTGGCAAAGATGATTTTCGAAAAGTAAGTTGTTCATTTTTTTTCATCAATATAAATTTTATCTTATTAGATTCCAAATGGTGTCAATGGTGTTGAAGATCGTTTAGCAGTTATTTGGACTAAAGGCGTTGAAACAGGAAAACTTGATGTCAATCAATTTGTTGCTGTAACAAGTTCAAATGCTGCACGTATATTTAATATTTATCCTAAAAAAGGTCGAATAGCTGTTGGTTCTGATGGTGATTGTATCATATGGGATCCAAAAGCATCGAAAACAATTTCAGCAGCAACTCATCATCAAGCATGTGATTTTAATATTTTTGAAGGTTTACAATGTCAAGGATTACCAATAGTTACAATTGTTGCTGGTAAAATTGCTTGGGAAAATGGACAAGTATGTATATCTATTGAAGAATTTTATTTGTATTTTAAATATATATATTTTCATAGTTAAATGCTGTACAAGGTTCAGGCAAATATCTTAATACTGCATGTTATGCTGAATATGTTTATCAGAAATTGAATAAACGTGAAGAACTTCGTGATCAGGTAAATAAATAAGAAAAGTATCTTTGTTATTGTAAGAATAAAATTTATTTTAGAAAATGAAAGAACAAAAGATTGAACGTGAACCATATACAGGTGAAGTAATAGATTTAAGTAAACCACAAGCGGAAACGAAATCAAAAGATCAACCAATTCAAAGTAGTGGTGAGCCTAACGCTGCTTCCGTTGGCTTTCATAATAGGCCAGCCACGCGCGCTGGTCCGTTTGAAAAATATGCTTTTTTCATACGTACTTTAACTATTGTTTTTCTTCTTTTTTCGACTATTTAAGGTGGACGAAATCAACAAGATTCAAGTTTTACATTTTCAGGTGATCAATGGGATGATCGAAATCAACGAAAAACAACTCGTGTTCAACAACCACCTGGTGGACAATCAAAAGGTTTAAAATAATCAATATATAATCATTTTCATTAACTTATTTTATATTAATATAGGATTATGGTGAAAAGTCTTTATTTTATTCTACACTTCTACGCTTATCTTGATAATCAAATTACTTGGCTATGTTTTTTTTTCTTTGTAATTCGCTATTTAATTCAAAAATTTAGATTAATCAAAAAATGTATTTAGTGATGATCTGACTGCATCGAGTTTATAATAGTGCTCTAATTGATTAACATATTTTTTTTTCTTCTTCAAAATTTTTTAAGACGAATGCTTGTATTTATGCTTGCGGGATTATTTTCTTCACACAGTATTTTACTAGCATTCCTTATCTTTAATTTTATTGAAACATTATTATTTTTTATACAGCACTGAATATTTGGTAAAATTCCTTGTTTCTTTCTTTTTTTTTTAAATATATTGGTGGTATTCCATTTTATTTATTCCATTTTTGACATGTTTTTCGTGTATGATTATAAAAAAAAAATGTATTACGTGTTTTCTTTTGTCTTCGATGAAAATTCTCTTCTATAAACGGTTTTATGAAATAAATATGATATTTGTAATTGAAATAACAGGGAAATTTTGCAAAATGTTTTAAACTGATCTTGAGGGTGTGGGTGTATCTAATCGATCTCACTCACACCCTCAAAGAAACGAGTCTAAATGATATTGTAATGACTGTAATATCTTCAAAGCTTCAAATACCATATATGGGTGATCCGTAACCAAAGGGTTAATTTAGGAATAAAGTAGATATAACTAGGAATATTTTGGTTATAATCGCTGTGAATATTAATGAGTTTACGAAGGACTATTATCTAAAAATAGTATAATTATCGATGGTGTCAATTTGTTGTAGCGTTATCTTTGTACTCCATCATTTTATCGTCTAGTTGTCTTATTATCGCTGATCTCTCAACACCAAACGGTATGATCCAACGGAATAAACGAACATAGAACGAATATACCAGCTTTGTATTGACTATTAGCTAATAATGATAACAAAGTGAAGCAAGGTATGAGCTGTTTAATTTCATTTCGAACATGAATATTATTCACATATATACTGTCTTTTTTTTTGAATACTTACGATATTACTTATAAATCACGATTAAACTAGTTGACTCAAATAAATTAAAGAGCAGAACAATTTTTACTGGTCAAATATGAATTACGACTTGAATTCTATAGATCTCTTCGAGCTTCACAACTTTTATGACACATCTATACATTTTTCAAATGAAACATAACTAAAGTGTATCCATGCTACCTATGAAATTACTAATTTACTCAAAAATGAATCAATAAATACTAAAGTGATGAAATAAGATTAGAATACTTGTTCCGGAAATCTGGCAGCAACCTATAATTGGATAAATATGCATTCTAGTATTATAATCTAATACTGACTATCAATGATTCTATAACCGAAAATTCGACTAAATTTGTTATAAGTGATTTATGAATCTTCTGATAAAAATAATTTTGAAGTTACTTATTGATCAAGTATGTTAATATTATTTCCTATTTATTAAATATCTTGTTTTTAATGATGAAATTCTATTCATGATTAGTAGTAAAAAAATATTATTTGGCAATAAAAAATTTCCTATTTAATATTTATTACTAATCTACTGTATAAATCTAAATGGAGATAAAAACTTAATTTTAATATAAAACGTATATTTTATATTTATATATATATATGTCACAAGGGAGATTTAATCATATTCTCTTTCTTGTAGAGAGAATCCAGTAAGTATAAGTTGTTTGCATGCTTGTGTATCCGCATTACACTGATTAGTTCAAAAAATAATCTCAATGAGTAAGTATTATTTTCCATGAAACTTGATCAAAGGTAATCGACAGTGGGAATTTTGATTCTGACGTCAGTTTTTGAAATTGTTTGAATAAATAGTTTGCTAATAGTCAAGTCAAACCGTTTCTACGAGAAAGAGTTGAGTGAGTCTCCAGACGAGCGTTATATATTGATAGAAAATATTAAATTCATTTCATCATTATGAAGTGCGATTTGCTTGAGATTCAGATGTTTCTATGTATTGTATATCATAAATATCAAATGGGAGAAAGTTTGATCAAAACATATCAAATTTTCTTATTAACAGGCTAATAATTGCTCTAAACAATATTTGACCAATGTTAATATCACTAAAACATTAATACATTTACAAGACAAGAAAATATATTTTTGCTGAATAATTAGTTTTGAATATGAATTATGAATGATTCTAAAAACACGTTCATATTTAAAAAGTTAATCATAGGATATTTAAAAAAAGAGGTAGGATGAATATGAATGCGTGAGACTTTAGTATTTATGCCTCACGTATATTCTAACATATCATTAAAAAGTAATATAGAATCTTCTGATATAGAATGGTTAGTGAAATTATAAGAATAACTTCCTTCATTAATAGATGAAATCTTAGAACGTGTAGTTGTCAAAGATTTTCCTTTCAATAAAATCTGTTATTCTATACGATAAATTTACTATTGATATGACATTATAAGAATATTAATGTATTTTAAGTTGTAAACGAACAAAATAATGATGCAAAATAAGTTATTATAAATTATAAATTTTTCGAGAAAACATTGTTAATATAATCGTTTATAGACGGAGAAAATATAAGAAAAGTTTTTATTTATTTTTTAAATAACGTAAATAAAATTTATTTATTAGAAAAAAACGTATAAAAATTAAATAGATTGATAATGTCAAGAATGATTTATATCTTTATTTAATCATGAATGTATTCCTTTACATAATATACATTTAATCAATCTTCTGTTCATCATATTAAGCATAAACGTCTGAAGGAAAGTTTCAAATTTTCTTTTTTCAGTTATTAAAATAATTTCACTCGATGACATAGTAATTAAAGCTGAATATCACTAAAAATAAAAAGACGATGTACCTGAATTTTATTAATGGAGACAGATGTCATGTGACAGACTGATAAAATTACTATAAAAAATTAAATTATTTTTGATCATTGAATTTATGGATTCAATAAAATCAACAATCCAATTGCTTTTCTATTAAAATACATACTGATGTGATCATTCTTAATAAGTTATTTTATATCCTAGATAAATTTAGTTTTCTACAACTCAAATATCATCTTCTTGACATAAATAATTGAATAAACATCAGTGACACGTTGACATCTAGACATATATCTGCATATATTCAGATTGTTATTAAAATAGATTTTAGATTGAATGATATCAACAACTATTATATATTGTTTGATGTTCTATTCGATGTATTCACTAAAAAAACATGTTATGAATTCATAATTTTTATAATAACTACTCTGACTCTGAATGATTATATTTATTAAATTTTATATTTCTAATTTTCTATCTATTTTTACCGTAGACTCTTAATATGGTACTGAAAATAGATTGCATGATAGGAAAGATATGAATTTATTTATATTATACTTGTTCGCTGAAGCATAGAAAATTTTCTGCAGACATGCTGAAATACAAAGTGCATGTGCATTGAACATATCAGAAGGATCAATGTGTATGCCCCTTTGAACATGGGTACACATTATTTTCCATAACAAACAAATTCATAACGCCAAATGCCTTATTATATTCTATCAGAATATATTTAGTCAACATATCAGAGATCATTATTAACAGTCATAAGTATACATATATGTCGATATAATAGTCCTTATAAGATATTCAATGACTTATCGACGCCTACGGTTTGGATATATACCTGATCAAAAGCGATTTAATGATTGAAAAGCATGTTTGATTAATAACATAGATTATTTTAGTAGAGTTTCATTATATACATAAAATTTATCTCATCGGCTGTAAATATGTAAAACAAAAACATTGATATTTATTTTATTGTTAATGATTTATATGAAATCTAAATGTTAAAATCGAATATATTAATATGAAGTCATGTATCTTGAATGATTGTCCATTTTTGTTCGGCTTAAAATGAGAGGAAAAATAAAATTGATGTTAAAAAATGCACAGCAGTTTGCTTGGTTTTTATTTCGTGAATTAGAGTATGACACAAAATATGTAAGAAAAAAAATGTGAGTTAAAGAAAAAGATAAATAGTATTCTTTTCTATTTCTTTTTTTATAACATATCTTCGTTTATTTGTCATTGTCAGTATTCCATGTTGGACGCTGTGCGAGAAACTCTTCAAGGGTTAATGGATTTGCTAGAGAAAAAAGAAACAAATAAAAACAAATCAAAATATTTCATATTAATATTGAAATTATTAACCTACGATCATTGGTAGCTGAATATCGAGGATGTTCGGATTGTTTCAGACGTGCAGTTTGATAAAGTTCACGAAGGATACGTTGATAAAGCTCATCACTATCACTGTCAGATCGCTTTCCCCATTGTTGACTTAAACGTTTTCCCCATTGACTACTCAAACGTTTGTTGAAAGAGCTAAAAACAAATATAAATAATTATATTTTAATTATAAAAACATTATTTTCAATCTCAGTAAATAGACTGATCGGTGTGACTTTGTTTTACATAGATTTTTGCATCAATGCTAAAAAATTTCTAATAAATTAAAAACAACATGAGTGACGAAATTAGCCACATGACTGATTAATTATAATTAACATTTACTTCAAATTCAACTGTTTTCATACAGAAATACGACCTTAGCTATATCTTTTCGTTTTATAACTATAAAATATTTATCGTCAAAGAAGCTTAGTGTTATCCTAATGAATATTTAATAAATGAAAATAACACTGATTTAGAAAACAATTCATCACATGATGTTGTTTTTTTTTTCAATAGAAAATTATAACATCATAACCAGATGAAGGAAAATTTTATTAAATGTATCGGGGTAATTTCCATTTGAATATTAAAAAAAGTACAGGCATCTATCTTATTATAACTCCGGATATGTAGTTTGCTTTTTTTGACATATATTAAAAAGAAACTAAATGTCATAGATAGCTAGATGATCATACTTACTGTTTTAAATTTTCATTTTCCGAAGAACTTTCCGTCAGTTCAGCTTGAGATAAATATGTTTGTACTAAGATAATAAGTACAACGGATACAAAAACATATAATTTCATATTGAAGATAAATCTGAAGTAATAGAAACTAAATTTGAATGTATTAATAATTATTGAAAACAAAATATTGTTTAAGAAAATAAACTTATATTATTAATAACGAGTAGACTATTGGGATGGATTGAAGGTAAATGAAATGACACTGATGAGACAAGAGAAAGAAGAAAGAAAAGAAGATAATAAGAGAGAATTTTTCTCTTGGGGTTTTCTTTTTTTCTTCTTCGATCTCCGCCTCTGTAAAAGAAAGTTTTTTTTTTGTTGATTGAGATAATATTATTGCTATATACTCTAAATTCTATATATAGACTTTTTTTTTGTTAGATTTTAATATTCTTATTACAATCTTCTTCGGAAATGAATTGTTATTCAAATAATATAGATATGTTTTATATTCAAAAATACAAAACAAAGCTTATATAAACCTTCATTTAGACCTCATACTTACCGTGTATTTTTCGAGTCATTCTTTTTCTTGAAAAAGAAATGACTTTAAAATTTATAAGGAAGAAAAAATCATCAATAATTCACTAGGTTAAAAAAGCACACACTCATACACACATTTTCTTTTTTAACGAGTATATTATTACAAAAAGGAGAAAAAAGAAAGAGATAGACTATAATGAAATGACATCGGATCAGTTTTTTTCTCTGATATATTATATATCCTTTCAATGAGAAATAAAAAACAATTTTCGAATTCATTAAAAATTCTAGCCACGCAATAATATATTACTAATCGATACAAATAGTCTTTTTTACCCACGCTCGATAGATATGTAATACGATAATATTAGCAATTGCTATTTATCTGCTCAACAGAATCAATAATTAGTCCATCTGTTTATCGAGCTAAATTATTTGTGATATATTACAAAATCTTCTTACTCATAAAACAATTTTTTTTGATTCGTACATTTAGTGAACAGCAAAAAAGTACGAAAAGTCTCATTGATTATAGTTAATTATTTCCGACAGACCATGCATTATTAATTTTCTAATTATTTGATGGATTTTACCACGAATATTTTTGTTGATCTAACTTTTGCATTTCATTACACATATAAATATCTGTTTGACGAATAGATAATATAGATATGTATATATAAGCTGGCTAATTCCTTTCTATTATTGCAAATTTGCATAAATAGGATCTTCTGATGAATTATCGATTTTATTGAATAAATGATATCTGCTAGGCAATGATCCTAGAGATAATATTCATAGAATACTTGATGATTTATATTATATCCAATAGTATTATTTTTTGTTTGACAAGATATTTTCATAATATCTAGTTTACTTTCAATCAAGATAGTACCTTTTTTTTTTATTTTATTAAATACACACGTACATTATGATAATAAAAAGTTAAAAAGACTAACTCCTATGTACACACACACACGCACACGCACACACAAACAAAAAAAAATTTGTGAAGATATTATTAGGAAGTTTGATTATTATTAATTCCATTCATTGTTGTGGACTTGTCTAAGCCACTTGTAGCTGTTTGTTGTTGAGCTTTAGAGATGTAAACATTTAATAACTTGAGCTAAATACGAATGAAAAAAAAAATAATAATTCAGAATAGTATTTTCAGTAATCAGATTTTCTACTTATGAAAATGAATAAAGATCTTTGAATATAAAATATATATCTAGGTTATATACCCACTACTAATCCTTAATTCAAAGGAGAAAAAAAATAGTATTTCTACTTCAATGATTTAGGGTGATTATTTTGAGTTATCGCTATTTGACAATGTATATGAATAAAAGAAGAAGATTGAATGATGATAATTCGTTATTTATTTTCAGATTGGTGTTAACTAATTTTTGTAACTTGAAACAGCAGAAATTTGTATCGTAATTTTAAAGTGGGTAACCCCATTCGATAGGCTGTAGTTATGTTTTTTTGTATGAAAAATAAAGTCTTTTAAGACTGTCGTAAATATTTATGTCTTAATCAATGTATATACATATGCTTCTTCTCAAGCGTGATCGAAATCAGTTGTTGATAGTTGTGACAAATATGGATTAATGTTTCTACTGTGTTAAAGAGTGTAACATTTCGAACACTGTTCCATAATGAATATCAAATATTTTAAAAAAAATCTATTTATTCTACAATAATAACTACTGACAAAAATATCAGATAACAAGGAAATATTTTTTTGTCAATTCCCTTGATTTTATAATCGAGAAATGAACGCGTCACAGTGTCATATTATCTTCGAAGATGTGGTTTTTTTTCGCTATTTATATTTAATTGACTCTACTTGAAATCAACATAGAGAAATGTCCAAACTATCATATATAACAGAATTTAGAAGCACAAAATAGATAACAAAGTAAAGACAAATTCAATAGTCTGCGTTTGAGCCAACTGGTTATGTTCCTATGAGACACGGTATATAATGCTATTTCATAGTTTACGTTTATGTATATATATAAATCAACATGAATTTTACATATATGTATTTACCTTGCTAGCACTTAATTTATGTAAATGTGTACGAAGGGCATCACCAACTACCAAATAAATCGATACCAAACAGAATACGGCTGCTTTTCTAACACTTGATGTTTCATTATCCCAAGACTAAAATGAACAAAATCTTGATTTTATAAACATGAATCCTATATATTTCTAAGCAAATAACATGCATGGGTTTTTTCGCAAAAAAGCATTGGCTTTTTTTTATAGTCTTTTACAAAAAAAAAAGAACACCATTTTATCTTTTTCTCATGCACTTACACTCGTTCCACTGACGACATTATGGGAATTTGTATCCCATGCCTTTTATTAGGAAATATTTGTTTTTAATCATAAAATAATAATAATAATAAGTTTGAATATTTAACTTACGGTTAAAAGTGGTGGAATCATTTCAGGTAATAAATCAATACATATGTCTTTATTCATTAGTTCAATTGTTTTTTGTAACATAGTTATAGCCGATTGATTCATTGGATATTTTGCTTGTTCAATTATTGGTTTAAGTACACGAATTGTATTTTCTGCTGGTAAATATTCAGCTGCTGCATGTGCGGCTTGTTCAGCTGAACGAGTTATCTAAATAAAAATGAAGAAAAGTTTAAACTGTTTTTATTTTTTTTCACTATAAGAAATATTTACTTCACTTTCATGTTCACTTTGAGCTTTTAATATTCGAAATATAGTTAATTCAATGTAGTTCATAAATAAACTTGTATGATGTGTTAATAATTCACGTAATATACGAAGACTATAAACTTTATATAAAGTTTCATCTTTTGGATTATCAAGAATTTGTGTTAAAATATTTAATGTTTTACTAAATGCTAAATCCCATGTTTCAGCATCATCGATTTTAGCAAATTTTAATATAGAACGTAAGGCATATTGTCGTTGATCTTTGGTTGATGTTATATCATTTGCTATATTAAGAGCTTTATCGATTGCTTCAGGACGATCAGCTGCATCGAATATGCTCTAGAATAGAACAGTTATATTTAGTAAATATGATATAGAGTTTGCAAATATTCTCATCAATGATCGAAAACTTTTTGTTTTTTTTCTCAGAAAATTCTTAAGATTTAGAATGCTTTGTTTTTTTTTTCTCTAACTCGAGTAGAATATGTATATTGAATGCAATGTTTCATCTCGTATTAGCTATTCAATTGATCTGACATACATCTGATGTTTCTGTTGGATGAGTACGTGATTGATTTGAATGATAATGTTGTGATGTATAATTACGAATTGGAATCATTGAACGATGTTCTTTTTCTTTTAGTGATGCTGAATTTATTAATAAATCATCTTGTCGATGATTAACATTTAGTGCTTGCATATTTTCCATTAAAACACGCATATCAGATGCATAAGTTGGAGGATGAATATCTGAATGAATCGATGTTGTCATTGGAGATGTTAAACCAGAAAAACTTGGTCGTCGAAAAAAATCATATCTAAAAAACGACATAATTTATATAAAATTACGCAAAAATGATGATATAATATTTTACTTATTGTCAAGTTGTGAATGATTTGATGATTGCATATCACTCGTTGATTGAATGATTTTTGCAGCAGTATCCTAAAATCGAAACGAATAATGTATGCAAAATATCGATTAAAAATAAAAAAGTCGGCTTTGGCCGTATAGAGAGATATGTAAAGTTTTAATAATTTCATCACGTCTACCATATAATTAAACATATGAAAAAATATTGTTTATTAAACTATAATATATTTATACTTTGTAAATTATTAATAGAACTGATTATTAAAAGTTAGCGGAAAAACGCACATCCTCTTTCACGATAATATATTCAATTCAAATTTTCTTTGATTATGAAAATTTAGTAAGAGGATTCTATTTTATATCCAATCTAAGTCACTCTTCACAGTTTGAAATGTAACGAAGAATAGCAGGACTTTGTTATAGAAATCATAGTCGATACTTAAAGCATTTCTATAAGAACTCAAATTGTTTGTCATCATTATGTAATCAGTAGAATACTATTTATTTATAGACAAAACTTTCGAATAAAATTTTCTTAGTCATACGACGTTTTAATTCGAATTGAAAAGTATATCATTCAATGAAATGATCTTTGCTAACATTAATTTTCTCTATAATGAATACAGTAAATTATTCGAGGATAATGAAAAGAAATGGAAGTCAATGAAAGCTTTTAAATATATTACACATGTCTTTTTATTTATTTCTCGATTCAATATTTTCTTTATTTTTTTTAACTATGATGAAAATTATGTAATTATATATATAAATTCATTTTATAAATAAATTCTTACTTGATAAGTTTGTGGTAGAGCAGTAAGCATTAAACTAAATTCCGGTCGATTAAGATTATGTAAAGCAAAGATAACTGCTTGTGCTGCCTAGAATCAAACTTAATCTATGTATATTTTTTTCTTTTTAAATTATTCGTTACTTTTCTCATTTCAATACTTTTCGGTTCATTAGCCCAACTAATTATTTTTGATAAAGAAGTTCGAATGTCTGTATTATTAGTTATATCAACAGGTTCCATATGTTGTATAACTTGTTGTAAATAACGTAAAACAATTTCTTTCGCTTTAATACTTGGTGCTGATGAATTATCATTGATAAAACGAATAAGAACGGTAAATTGTGCGTGAACATCAAATGATGAATTAACAATTGATAAACATTGTTTTAATTTTTTATAAACAGAATCAAGTAAATCAGGAGCACCCATACGTATTAATAAACGTGTTAATAATGCATATAACCAACTATTTAATTCACGTTTATAAGCTATTATAAAACCAGGTAAAACCTCAAGAAATGATGCAAATACTTGAGAATTTGGGTCATAAAAACGTTTTGTTAATAATTCAGTTAAACGTTTTAATTCCGGAGGACTAATTATTAAAGAAAACAATTATATTTAATATATTTGAATTAAAAGAAGAAATTACCTGAATGTACGACCTGCACGAATCATATGATATAAACTAGCTAAACTTTCTTTTCGTTCAGCCCATTCATTACTTGCCATTCGACGTAAAACATCAGCAATATCCTACATGAAAAGTAATCTCTTAATGGAATAGATGAGATTTCGAGCATGAAAAAATGTGTCTCGTCAATTTCAATTACAAACAGTTATTGTTATTGTACACATATATATATATGTATATCTATCTAATCAACTGTCACATATTTATAAACGCATGATAAATAATTTGTTCTTTTGTTATAATATTCTAATCAAAAAACTTACTTCAAGTGACCGTTCTGAACATATACTCGATGTTTCTGATGCATCATCACCACTATCACCATACCATGAACCACTAACACGACGTTGACCAGCATGATCACCATAATCACTTCCTGGTCCTCGATATCCAAATGATCCTAACAAATATGATATAAATGAATTTAATTGAACATAAAAAATTGTTAAAGTTTAATTCAAATCCCATTAATCAACACGTAATAACTACGATGTTATAACACACAACACAGAATTTATATCCTACAAAAAAAAACTTACGTCCTAATCGGCGTCTATTTCCACCAAGACTCGTTGTCATTGCTGAAAAAATATCTCTGTATTTGTTAGATACTTATTTCTCTTACACATTTAATTAAACGTATCAAGGAGAAGAAAAAAAAATGAAAGTAAAACATACTTGTTCGTCCTGGACTTGATTCTCGACTTGATATTCTTGAACCTCCATTTGAACCAATAGGTATTCGAGAACGTGAACCTATTGATGTACGTGATGTTGATGATAATTGATGAGATAATCGTAATGAATTTGGTGATGTTGAACGACTACCTGGTTGAGATTGAGAAACAGTTTGTGGTGGACGTGATGATGTTGATGGAGAAGGTTTTGCTTGTTGAGGAACATATCGAGTGCGATCTAAATTATTCACAAAAAAATTTAATCAAAAGATTTTTTTTTATCAATATTTACTAGGTTTTGCTTGAACAGCCGATGAATTTAAACCTAAAATAAAAAAGAATTTATAAATTATGAAAAAAAGAAATCAGACAAATATTTACTAGTTGATGATAGATTTTTTTGTCGTAATGCTAATTCATTCGCACTTGATGATCGAGTTAGATTAATTGATGAACTTGGTTTATCTAAATAAATTCAAAATTTATTTCGTTTCTCTTCTTTCTTCATGACCTTGACTTATGATTTAAAACAAAACTTGATATTTGATCTCTTCAAATATCATAAGAACAAAAAAAAATGAATTGATATTCGAAAGTAAATCATATGTAAATGAAGTGATTAATTAAAAGTAATCGAGATCTATTTTTCTTACCATTATTATCTGTTCGCGTTTGTCTTGATGTCAAACTAAATAAAAAAAAACATTGAATTCAATAATGTTTGAACTATACACATACTCTTTTGATGTACGTATTCTTGAACTACCACCTAGACTTGCTAATGAATGTGTACTTGATGCATTACTCATTTCACCCTATTTCATATTAATAAGTATAATCAACCTTTAAAGATGAAAAAAATGATTTAAAACAAACCATTAAAGTTTTCTTTTTTGAAGCATCTAGCGAAGCAAGAAGTGCATCGGCTAATATAGGAAAATGATCACGAAAAAAGCCAAATGCTCTTCGTGCATTTGATCTTGCTTCAGCATCAGCATCAGATAAACCTTTTTTTATGAGATCATGCATTAATTGACCATGTTTTTCCATATAAATAAAATCCCATTGTGATAATAAAATTACTAATAATTCATAGGTATGTCTTCGAATTTCTTTCGATTTTGATTGAATTCCATCTAATATAAGTGGAATAAGTTTACTTGATTGTGTATGAGAAACAATATAACGTATTCCAACAGCTCCACTTGTTGACATAACTTTCGCACTATTTTGTATAAGATTAATCATAGCCGGTATGACACATTCAACTGTACGTTCCAAACGATTTGTTAAACGCATAGACATATATGCTAATGTAATACAAGCTTCACGAACAATTTGTGAACGTAGATCTTTTACAGTTGTTACTAATGGTAAATCTAATTGACGAAGTGCACGAAAAAATTCATCATATTGATCACCACCACCGGATACGATCGAACGTAATCGTTTAAGCTTAATTATAAAGAAAATAGACGAATTAATTTGAAAAAAAAAGAATTTTTCTTGTTTCTTACTGCTTCAACACGTTTTTCCCAATCATTATTTGTATCAGCAAGTATATCTCGAACACTTGTTAATTGATTTTCAACATCTTTACCTGATGACAGCTTAAATTAAAAAATATAGATAGTACTCAATCCTATTGATGAGATAATACATTTGCCATATGGAATATTTGACATATAAACAAATGTTTTTCTCATAGGTTATAATAATCATCCTTACCGACATAGCCGGTGTTGAATTGAATGCATCTTCGAATAGTGCTTCATCAACAGCTCCACTTGCTGCAGCTACAGAAAATAAACCAGACAACATACTTTAAAATTTTTATCTTATCTGATAATAAATTCTTATATCTTTAACTCAAATCAATGTAGGATATGTGTTATTCTCTGCATGATCAATGTCTTACATAATCATTCAACTATAGGAATATGTATAACTGAGTCAAAAAATAACATAAACATTTGTTATAAGATAAAGTAATAATAAGAAAACAACAATAACAACAGGTGAAGATATGACACAATACAACAAAAGATAAATAATACCTTATGTTGTTGATAGAGATGAGATACTTGATAAACTATATTCTTTTGCCTTTCTTATTATTGTTTTTTTCTATATGTTCAAATATTAGAATTTAATGTAATTACCTGCTGAAGTTGAACTAGCGCCAGATCGTGTTGGAATACTACCACTTGGTCGTCGAGAAGATGTTGTACTATTAGCGTCAGAATTACGTCGAGATTTTATTGCAGATGATTTCGGACGAGCTATTAATAGAGTTCATATGAATATACAATCAATAAAAATGGCCTTACGAGGTTTACTAGCCAAAAACATGTCTGTAATTGGCATCATTTGTATATATGATGCTGTTTCTTTTTCTCTTTTTCTTTCTTTTTTTATATTCTGTCGCGTCTGTCTATAGAATTTGAATATCAATGAAAATTACACATGTACATATAAACGATCATCCCTTATACGTTTGTGGTTACCTTAGATGGTTAAAAAAACGTTTTTTTGATAAATATATACGCGCGCGTGCACAAATATGAATGGAAGAGAGAAGAAAAAACAATCAACTCATAAGTTCAACAAATCGATTACTCTCCTTGATATAAGAACAAAAAGGTAACGAAAAGTCGAGCATCAAACATAAGAAGAGTGAATTTAAATATATACAATAGATCAATAACTATATGTGTTTGAATAGCTAAACCTTGTGTGTTTATATGTATATAAAGAAATTGTTTATACCTAGTAGTAATTTTTTCGTCTTATTTAGTCGATAAAATTCTATATTAATTAAAGGATAAAGTTCATCATCATTTTCTTCTTCAATTAATGGTGGTAATTGAAAATGAGTTGATGATAGTCCAAGAAATTGTTCGAATAATGTTGAATCCATTGCTTCTCTCTTGAGTCAAATAGGTAACTAGTTTCGATAAGTTCAAGTACGATAGTAATATATACATATACATAAATGTGTATGTCTTCCTCGTTTTGTAACTTTGTTTTTCGTACATACGGTTTTTTTCTGTATCACGCAATTATCTTATCATTATATATATCTTACACTTTCGCTAACTGAATTAATACAACTATGATCTTTCAGTTCGATTGTTGATCAAAAACGTATATGAATTCAGTAGTCCAATATATATATATATGTAAAATATTACTTACTATCATCTGTTGAATCAGATCCTTTTGCAATCATTCGACCACTTGCAACAACATCATCGAATTTTTCATACAATTGTTTTAATCTAGATAACAAACAAAAAAAATCAAGTTGAATTTAATGAATATAAATGATTTACTTGGCTTCTGGTATATCTCGTTTTGCAATATCACCACGAACTTTTTCTCCAACATGACGATAAATTTCAACAAGAGTATCGATAGCTTGTTGACGAACCTAATTTCCATCGAGAAAAAATTATAAATGAAAATAATATATTTCAAATCCTTACAGTGCCATTTGAATCTGAGACAAGTTTACAAATGAGTGGAACAAGTTTATTCAGTTGAATTGATGATGAACTAAACCTAAAAAAATTTTTTTTAATATTACGATATTTATCGAGTATGTACTAAATCATGAGAAACATAATCCTTTTTTTCCCTCAATTCACTTACTTATTAATGATCTCTGATGGAGATGTACGTTTCATATCAACGAAATAATATTGATAATACTAATATAAATTTTATCTTTTCTTTTTATATTGTCTATTGACCAAGAAATTAACTCGGTCTAATGTAACGCACAGTAGACAACAAGACAAAGAAAAGATCGAAATCCACTATGATAATAACACTCGGTTGGATTAAATAGACAGTAGTAAAGGCGATGGCGATCGTTAGTAAAAGAAATATGTCATTCACATCTTGCGTAATGCACTCTTACCATCCATTATATCTCTATCTGTTTGCAGCGTACACAGTACGCTGTCTTTCATTCTGTATATACATACATGTATATGTACATTGATGAAGTTGTATGTTCGTGCTTGAACGAACAAGAGTCAAGGTATTTCGGTTATGAGAACATAGCTTTCAATTTGATTGAAAAAGAAATATAATGAAGATATTACGTCAATGTACAAATAAACTATTTAGTATGAAAGATCGAGTTCTTTTCTTCTTTTTATTAAATTAGTTTTATACATTAGGAAAATGGTCAGCACTTTATTTATATTAACAAAATATTATTTATGAACTTACTCCATATTTGAAGTATGTTTTATCGTTATTGTCTTTGATCCATTCGTTAACATCCTACCGCTCGTTTGATTTATCATTAATATATTAATCTTTCTTTGCTACGCAAAAATTATTGCGCGTAATATGATAGAAGAAATGAAGAAGAAGAAGAAGAGCATAAGAGCTTTTTTTTTAGCATCTACTTAATGTGTGTTCAATTAGATAGTAACAATAGTATTTTTCTCTCTCTCGTTCTTTCTACTATACGAGTTGATAGTACATAAGATAGTTGACCGGTCAACAGCTGCCTATGCATTATTTTTACGTTATTGTTATACTATCTTTTTTTTATTAATGACGACAGAAGGACACAGACATATACAAACGTGTCTGTGAGTATAAGGAAAAAAAACAACACGATCAGAATAACTAACAATTGATTGTATATGCTCAATTATAAAGCATATAAACATATGTTTGTTTATCATTCGAATAATTGATTGATATCGAATAAAACTCAGATGTTTGTTACAATAACAATGAGATAAAAAAAAAGGTCGATTAATATTTCTGTCGAAAGAATAAAAGGTCGATTGGTAAGATAAGATCTTTCTTATTCTAGATTTTTTTATTAAATAATTGGTTAGTTTCTTTGTATACGTACTCATCTAATGATCTTATAAGTAAACGTTGACTTTCTTCTTTTATACGAAATTGTTTACTGTCAGAAAATAATGGTTGTATTAAGTCCCAAATACGCTACATAGAATACAATAAATTATTTGTTGTTATATTTACAAAACAATTACTTGTGGATTATATTTCGTCATTAATTTCATAAGAAGATTGGATGCGGCTTCTCGGACCTAAATGAAAACTTGTTTTTTCATTTACTTTGATATTATTTAGTTTACTTGATCTTTAGCATCGCCTAATCGATCAACTGTTACTGATACAACTAAATGTAAACGAATATTTTATTTTCAAATATCAATCGAAAAACTTGTCTTATATACCAAGTTCAAGAAAATGTTCAAAATCATTTGAATCTAATCGATCATTCAACATTTCCAATGCTCGAAGACCATTATGAGCAATCTAAATTAAATTTAAACATCCATAAGGAATACTCAAAAATAGATGTAATTATACTCGGAAATTGCTGCCTTCAATCCATTTAATTAAACCATCGATAAATCCAGGCAAATCATCACATTTAAGTGAAGTATCATCATCAGATAGATAATTTTCAAGTGCAGAAAAACATTCTAGCCGAACGCTTGGTTCTTTCGAAAGAACACTTTGATAAAAATCATCGAGATTTTTATTCTCATTTGACGAATCTGCCATCTATGACACTATACTATACAAAAAACAAATGCTCAGTAAATTGATAATCCTGGATATGCAATAGTGGAACTTAGTAATAAAAAACAAACAGGTCTAAAGCAGGAAAGAAAAAAATAGACAAGCAAGTAAATCATGATTTATTAGTCATCAGATTACAAAATATTTTTCCTTGAGGTTGATTGGATTAAAATACAAACCAATACAATACAAGTTTAGGCAGAATTTGTCAATTTTATATTGGAGACTTTATCTATTTATAGATAGTTGTCAAAGATATCATTTCAGAAAATGATATATTAACAAAATTTGGTTAACCTTTGCTTCGGATTTCTTATATAATCAAACGAGAATGATAATAAGATGATACAATGTCGGATGAACTTCAAAAGAAATATTTATAGATCATTATTTTATTTTCTATAACTAGCCTTCAGGATAGTTAATGATTAATAACATTTGATTATCATCAGAAAATTTACATTCAACAATAATCTAGATAAAAACCATATTGTATGTAGCTTTCATACAAAACAATTAGTAGAACCTTACAAATTTGTTTATAGTAAGATTCCGCGAGCTTTTTTGTTTATAGTAAATAATCAGTAAAAGCTTCTTTCATCAGAATCGATTTCATACAAGGATCGACATTATTTATGTCTATAATGTTACAGTTCCTACGCTAATCATCGAATTCATACACAATAGTATTTATCATTCTTCTTCTTCTTCTTTAAAAATCATTTAATTATAAGACAGAATAACTGTTGATTGATGTTTGACCTCAGAGATAAATAATGACACCATTGTTAAATTTGTATTTCACATACAGATGCTCTCATGATTAATTGAATAACCCAAACAGATAAAACTCTCGAGTGTATTAGCTAACTTAGTTTCCGAACAGAATAAAATTCATTCATTTATATATATCTGTAAGCATCTCATCGGATACAACAGATTCATGTCAAATTTTTTAAATCGAAGAATGAATTGCACTTGTGACTTATGATAATAAAAAAAACAAGGTGAGCTATATACAACTAGTAGTACTAGAGAAATATTTCAGCTATTTCAATGGTGATTAACAATGTAATGATATTTTTATCTTTCTTGTTAATCCATTTTAAGCACAACCCTACGATTCAAGTTTAGCAAGTATTTGAAATATTTCACTGGTATTTAATTTATCAACAGCTGATTTTCATTTGTACTAGCCCTGATATAGGCATATCAGACCAATACTAGTGATTAATCTCTACGACTGAAGTTTATTTTTTTTCATTCATATCCATACGTTTATTTAGTTTTGTATTCACAGAAATAATTTGACAATGACAAACTAATAACAACAGAAAAAAAGTATTAAATACAATTATATCTACCAAGCTGAACCAGTATTAGCCAAACGACGAATACGTCTAAAAGAAAAAAAAGAAAATTTCTATATTTATTTTTAATAAATCTTTACCTGGTATTGCGATCTTGATCACGAATTTTCTTATCCATTTCAGCATCAGTAAGTGTTTCCAAAAATGGACAATATTGTTCTGCATCATGGTTTGTTCGTGTAGCAACATCAACAGTTGGCATTGGGGTTTCACTATTAAATAAATCAAATTTATGGAAAATTTGTTTTTTATCATTCTTACCTATACGAAAAAGTTTTATGATGCCAACTAAGTTGACCACGAATACTATACGCTATTGCTGTAACAAATTCACCACCAAGACCTTTTATATACATAAAAATTTTTATAGGTTATTAATAATTAGTTGCTAAAATCTTATTTACCTAACTCCGATGCTAATACACGAGCAAATTCTTCAGGACTATTATGTTTATCCGACATATCCCATTCAAATTGATCAACTAAACTTACATTTCCAACATGTATATTCAACTAAAAAAGGCAAGATATTCATTATAAAATCTCTAAGAGTTTCCCACTAATTTATAATTACTTTAATTGTAATTCGTTGATCGCTATTATCTTCTAAAAAGTCGTTGTGGTGCGATTCAAGTTGTTGGCGCATTGCTTGTGCAATAGCAGGCACAAAAGCCATTGTGTTCAGATCTAAATCATCGCATAGAATTTCGGCATACATTTCTGGTGTAATTAATTGTTCTAAATAAGATAAAATAATCAATAATCAATAATTCTTCAATTTATTTTCTTTGTTACCATTTTTATTCCATGTAAATGTATCTCGTAGTTTTTGTCCTTCAATTTCCATATCAAGTCGAATTGGAACAAGATCCTCATGCTGTTGAGAATTTTCAAGAACAGATGAAGTATCTGTATAATCGAAACTAAATAAATATATATATAAATTAATATATGATATTAAAATAAAATTCAAATAAATACCATAGAGGAAAAGTTTTTTTCTTTGTTGTTGTTCGATTTCGATTAATTGGTGTTGCAGCTGGTACAGCATCCAAATGATGAGAATTGGTTGGAAATGATGGTAACCATGCTGATCGTTTTGATTTATCCCTAGTAAATATACACATAAATATATACGTAAAGTAATATAATATGAATAGATATTCTTACGCTCGTGTTGTAGCTGTGTCATTATTTAAAGTTAATGCACGATATTTTTCATCATCTCCATTTAGTACTTCATCAACTTCATTAGCACGTAATAAAGTTAAATTTGTTGGTAAAGATGATTCTGAACAACCTAATTCAATTAACCATTTACGTTCTTCTAATGTTATCATTCGACGCCATAATGATGGATATTTTTTATAAAGTGTTCCACGAAATAGACGTAAATAATTACCGACCTAGATCAGAAGAAAAAAAAATGATTTTATATTGATTTCGAAATCATTAGAAAAAATGATTTACTTCAGAACCGATATACATCTTTTCTTGACTACCAGGAAATTGAAATGGTACTGGACGTTCACCATATGTTTTTAGTATTGGAGTTGGTGTGGGTGTCGACTTCTTGTCCGATGCCATGTTTGAATCTGCCTGAAGACAATAAAAAATTATACAAAAATTTCAACTTAGTCGATAATAAATACCTCTAACATATGATATTTATCCTGAATTAAATAAACAGATCAATTAGTGTGATACTAAGTTAGATCAGATCTAACGACTATGTTCAACACATGAGTACAAAGACAGATTAATAAGCAGACATTATTTTTCTATTGGAAATCGCTTCTTAAACCAATAAAAAACAAATCAAACGATAGATGTCGTTATTATCATATATATGTTAAAACATAAAAAGTTACAGTTACAGGTGTAAGCCGATCGGTTAAGCCGCCGCTGCCGCTGATCGTTGCATCGGCTCACACCTCTAGTCACAGTGCAACGAATGATGTTTGATTAGAATATACATATAGTGCGTCTTACTTATAAAAAATGTCTGCGTATAATTTTATTTTTAAAAATTAAAATGAAAGAGGATTTTGTTACTACTAAATTAATTTACTACAGAATGAACAAGTTCGTCAATACCACATGTACATTCATCTCATTTTAATTTTTGGATCTCAATTTTTCATTGCATTTATTGCTTTGCTGATCTTTTGAGTAGTTTGCATTAAAATACTATATCTATATCATTTATTTTCATGTGAGTAAGATGCCAGTTTGTTGATATCAGAATCCGAGAGTTTTATATACGTATCAATGTTGTCTATATAAGATTCATGTCTATTGGATACTATATTATGTTGCTAACGTAATCATAGAAAAGAACGTTAATTACAGTTATAATCATGATTCTATTATTTTGTTGGTGACTCTATTATTTTTTTCGTTCTTTATCTCTAACAAGTGATTACAACATCATACTATGTCCTTGACACGAAATGAATATCTACACATTTAGTGCAAACAACAGAACAACAACGAATCATACAATCAATATAGACGATAATATAACGTACATTTCAAGAACAATCAACAATGCCAAATCAAATTAACGTCTCATTTTTTACATTACCGGTAGAACTTGTCTACCGAATTCTTGATCATCAAAGCGACTACACGATTGTATGTTCGATGAGAAATGTCTGCCAGCGGTTTAATAGCATTGTTGATAGTTATCATCGTTACCAGGTAAAAAAGTTTTCTATCATGATTGTTTAACTTTTATTCATTGAATCTTAACGTATTTTTCATTCCCACAATCTATAATTAAGTACGTAAATTATTTGTCAATCTCTTTCAAAAACTGATTTTCAATAGTAATACCATATGAAAAAAAAAGACACAGACACGTTTAAACGTAGCTATGACGTCATGAGTATGAAATATATAGATAAGAAAGAAAAAATCTTGTTTTCGTTTATGTGTACCTGAATATTTTTTTCATATCTCATTTCAATATTGAAAGACATGTTTTGAAAAAACTTCATAGTAAATGACGTGGTTTGTTTTGTCGTAGATAACAGTTGACAATATTCGTCGTGAAATGTCGAGCACACAAATGTTTTCATTTATGTGTTCTTGAAAGATGTCCTTAACAGTAGATACTCTTCAAAATGAAATCTCAAGGATATTTCCTCAAGGGTCATTTCTTCGAGGCACAATTAATGCTAAAGACTATTTTCACAAGAAAATTTACTCTCAAAATCATTCGATCTGAAGGACATTTTTGAAGAAATCGAAGTTCATTGATGAATTTAAAAGAGAGTCATCCGAAAACTTGTCAACCAAGAGTATAGCTTTATCGTATATATATAGCATAATAACAAATCATTTACTTCACTATATCAAATATTGCAAGCAGAAGTAATTTAAAGAATCATTTTTAATAATCGAAATTTTTTTCTCTCTTAACAAACATTTAACAACTACAGAAGTCAATAGATAAAAACCAGCTACATAACCTATATTTCTAATGACGTGTTATCGCTCTCGATTTCCAGACAACATTATACAATATTAAAAATTTCAAAAACTCTCGCACAGATTTTAATAGCACATTGTAAGATCACAATGGCTAACTTATTTTCCGCCTTTATCCAATGTCATGTCTTTATCCGCGTCTTTTTATTTAGACACTAACGACACTAGATCTTGCATTTGGTGAAATTGGAGATGTTGGTGCACAACACCTGGCTAGTGGATTACGAGATAATACAGTAATTACAATTCTGTCGTCATCTATATCATATTTTCGTCTTCACTTTCCACATAGACTGTTACCGCACTACATCTCTACCGTAATCAAATTGGGGATGTTGGAATCCAGCATCTAGCTGATACATTACAACATAACACGGTAACTCTCATTTTTTTTCATTTATAGTATGTCTTCATCTATAATTTTCATCAAGACCATTACGACATTAGATCTTGATTTCAATCGAGCTGGACATCTCGGAGCTCAACATCTACGTGATGCATTACGACATAATACTGTAATTCTTATTCTCTGTTCATGTACATCTTGTCTTATTCCGCACTTTTGTTTTTATCTAGATACTTACTACACTGAATCTCAAAGGTAATCAAATTGGAAATGTTGGAGCACAACATCTGAGCGATGGACTACGATATAATACAGTTATTCTCATTTTCTGTTTTTGTACATCATGTCTTCATTTGTACTTTTCATACAGGCACTGACCGCACTAAATCTTTATAGAAATCTAATCGGAGATATTGGAGTAGAACATATAGGTACTATATTACGATATAATACGGTAAGTCTCATTCTTTCTTCATTTCTATTATGTGCTTATGGATACTTTTTCATTTAGACGCTTGCCACATTAAATCTCGGCAACAATCAAATTGGAAATGTGGGAGCACAATATCTCAGTGATGGATTGCAATATAACGAAGTAATTCTCATTCTCTAATCATGTATTCATCTTCACTTTTCACTTAGGCGCTGATCGCACTAGATTTATGTGCGAATCACATCAAAGATATTGGATCACAACATCTAGGTGTTGCACTACGACATAACACGGTAATTCTCATTCTCTTATCATATATAGAATATCTTCATCTACATACTTTCACACAGACACTTACCAACTTAAACCTCGATAGTAATCAAATCGGAGATGTTGGGGCACAGCATCTGGGTGATGCATTACGACATAATCCAGTAATTCTCATTCTCTATTAATGTGTATCATGTTTTCATCGTTACTTTTTACCTAGATACTCACTACATTAGATCTCTGTGGCAATGAAATTGGAGATGTTGGAACACAGCAACTGAGTAATGGATTGCGACATAACAAGGTACTTTTTATTCTTTATTCATCTATATCCTAACTTATTCTGTATTGTTTTTCACTCAGGCACTTGCCACACTAGATCTTGGCTATAATCGTATCGGAAATATTGGAGCACAACATCTGAGCGATGGACTGCAACATAACAAAGTAGTTCCCATTCTGTTGTTGATGTATATTCTGCAGTTTTGCTTTTATCTAGACACTTACTGCACTATTTCTTGCAAATAATCAAATTGGAAACGTTGGAGCAAAACATCTGACTGATGGATTGCAACATAACACGGTAGTTCTCATTTTCTTTTCATTTTTATCCTGTCTTACTTTACATTTTTTTCATTTAGACACTCATCTTTATAAGTCTTCAAATGAATCTAATGAGTGAAGATGCTAAACATGCAATCAATGAATTTACTGAACGAAATCAAAGAATGACAAAATCATAATTGGTAATATCAAACATATTCTGATAACGAATATACAGTGATTGTTGAATGGATGAAATTTTATTTGTATTGTAATTTTTTGATCCATTGAAATAATCTTATGAATAAAGTTTACCCGAATATTGATTTCGTATGAAACCACTAAACATATCGATAACTGATGCGAAGATTTTTTATAGATAGTTAAACGATGTGATAGAAGAATCAATCGAGTTAGTTCATAAAAATGAAAAGGTCTATATTTTTTTTAAAAAACTAAAATTTATTTCATTATATATCAAGATGATATTTACGACAGTATTAATAGTTGATATATAAATATAGATCAATGAGAATCTTAATGGCAAATCAATGTGTATTCTATGTACAAAATATGTCGTGACAGTGGCTCATAATCTAGTGGTATATGTGTTTACATAAGAAATAGATATACTCGTACACATCATTATATTCACGTATAACTAATTCTATGCATTTATGAAAAAAAAAATGTCGCCGAAAACAGCTTATGTATTAAATATGGAATAGTGTACGTCAAAACAAAAATAATAGGCAGCAAAAGTAAATATAAATCAAGAGTACGAGGTAAAAATTCAAATGTGCATACTTCAAGTGTTGTTCCTCTTGAATTAAATTTTTAAAAAGAAAACTGTCAAATTTTTTCTTTTGCATTATTCTATTTAACACCAAAAATATGCGAGTAAGAAAAAATAATATTTTAAGGTAAACATTTTTTCATAATACAGATTTGTGTTTATATGTGTATTTCTTCTTTTGTTTACACATAAAACCGTGAACAAAAAAGAAAAACAAAACGAAAGCACCCTAAAAAATTCTATATACTATTGTTCACGGGAAAAAAAAATATATGATTAGACTAACTACTGCACGCAGCAATAAAGATGTTGAAGATGGCAAGAATGAATAATAGACACATAACACAATTGTCTATATAATCAAGTTTATGTTGTTTGTATTGATCATTTAAATCGATTCGCATTACATACATCAGAACGACACCTAAAATACAAGATAATACAAAAAAATCAATTAGAAATTACAATTGTTTCAACTAAAAACTATTGGAATGTATAACAAATTCATTCTTTTTGATTAAAACTTAAACATAATAATTAAAAAAGTAAAATCCAATAAAACTAGAAAAATTGTTAAAATAGCTGGAAGTATAATAAGAAGTTGATCATAACGTGTCAAATTTGCCATTAAAGATGATGATAATGGTAAATGATCGAGTGATGTGAAGAGAAATGTATACATTTGAACAAAGCCTAGAAACCGGGAAGGGAAGGTAGTAATAACTACTACTTATTTTGACGAAACGAAAGCAAAAGAATTAAATACTCAAACTCTTTAAAGAAAATAGAAAAATAAGATTTTAAACTTACCAATAGACGCACACATAAGGACAGAGACAATACCAAGTGTAACTTGAGTACCGTAGAATGGATGGTCACCACCTCGTTTGAGTACATGTTTTAATTGTACACTATTACTCATGATGATTATCTAAGAAATATAAAATATAAAGTCAGTTATTCTTCTATATATTTTTTTTTCATTATCATTGATAATGTCGTAATTATTATTTTGATGTAACACAATTGCATCATATACTCAAAGATAGTACTGAAATGACGTCTAGGACTATTAATATCATAATCGTGACAAATATAAAATACGTGTCTATCTTTAGATTATTTTCAAACTTTATGTAATATGTCTATGTTTCTTACCAGTAGACACATTACAGTCATAGCTGTTTTTTTCATTGAATAAAATCGAGCATCTAATAAGACAGCAGGTGCTTGCTAGAATACAAAACAAAACATCGATGTATAGGAATACCTAATAATATGCTTACACTTTTATCTTGAGCACGTAATGCTGTAGGTATATAACGTTTAACATCGAATCGACGTCGTTCGGATTCCGATTCATGACGTTCTCGATCAATCATGGGAGACTAGATAAAAAACAAATATAATTAACACTTTAACATATATTTCTTTGTAAAAATAATGTAATAGAAAAATAATATAGAAAATATTGTAATAAACAATTACCTGTGCCAATTCAATGCCGTGTTGATCGTCTAAAGACATTTTTCGTTTCTCTTCTCGCTATATATATATATGTAAATGAAGTGTGTCAAAGAAGAAAATCGTTGTCAATGTATATAATTTATCTATATAATCAATTAATATTAATTAAAAAACATGAATATCACCTGCTATTCTTTTTTTCTTTTTTTGTCAATCGTATCTGCTTTATTAATAATAAACAAACCACAAATAACAACTCGTTTTGTGATATCAATATGTCAGTTAGCAGACGAATTCTCTTTTCTTACTAGCTTTATTACCCTTTGTGATTGATCACAATATCTTATATCAGTAGTGTGTAATATACAACAAAAGAGAAAACAATCTCAGTCTTATAAAGAAATGAGGCGGGAAAAAATATATGTATGTGCAAATGTGCGCCATTCGCGAAGGACAATCAGTAAAAGAGAAGAAAAAAAACCGAGAGAAAACGAGACAAGAGAAAAGAAAAGTACGTGTTGTACGTTGATGGTTCTTACATTTTTATATATATATGTGTACGAGAAGTAATGTGAAAGTAGTTATAATGAAAAATAAAATATCTTTTAAAAAATATTGCCTCCATGTGCTTCATCGTCTCGCTCGAACGAAATATGCTTTCACTATCTACCCCAATTCGTTCTTTTTCGTTTTTTTTTTTCTTATACCAAATCCGAAACAAAGAAAAGACGAATCATGAATAGGTCGCTTAAACGTTATCATTATAACCTATAATAATAGCTTCGTTTCGTCTTCAATGAGAAATGTGATGAATCAAGTCATTTATCATTTTTCAATAGAGAAATGTGGTCATATTCGAGGGTTTTGCCATTCTATGATAAAATTATTTAAATATCGAAAAACTATTTTTTTTGCTTTTTGCGTTTTTGGTCGCAGCTGGTTAATTATACGTAATAACACTTACGAAATATTTGCTTTGACTTTCGATAATTTCAATATCATTTGGTATTTGTTTAGAAGTAGTCGGTGATGTATTTACTGGAAGTTTTTTTGAGTCTTGATCATTGACATTTATCGGTGAAGTTCTTCGATCGGCAAAAAATATGTAACTATCAGGATATAATGTATCAGGATAATAAATTTTTGTTAAAAGATCAGAACGAATTGGACGATGAGATGTTGTTGAGGATGATTGTTTTTGATCTTCATCAATAGTAGATTGATTATTCATATCGTTTAACGAGATTCGTACGTTGAATGAAACAAAACAAAAATTATATACACGCGACGTTGGTTTTTAACTGAAAACGAAAAATAAATGGCATATGCAAGGTGCACATTAGAGGTTATTACGATCGTGAATAGGCAGTAACGAACACGCAAGACATTATTTGACTCTCCTTTTCGTTTTTTTCCTCTTCATTTCAGTCCCTCAACCGATGTACCACAACATGCAATAATATAAATGATGTGACTACTACCTAAGTAATTTCTACGTGTCATATTTCTATATTATTCACATCAACCATTGATACAAGTTCTGTTTTTATCTTAAAATGAGTACGATTCATTTGCGTTAAATGATTTGTATGGAAAAGTTTTTTTATCATTTCATAAAGAAAAAAAAGAAAGTAAATATTATTACATAGATTTAAGTCAGGTAGTATGTAATTACAAAATAAAAAACGAATACAATATTAGATAAATTTGCAGATTAGTACTGACATTGGCATTTAAATAGTCTATTGAATTTTGCTGATTTAAAAGCAGACAGAAATATTTGAGTATAATATCTTAATTTATTATGATCTAGACACGATTTTTGAAATTAAAAAGAATAATAATAATGAGAGTATATCAAAAATACATTGAATAATAATCCTTTTGTAACAGTACACTATCACTCAAGGATGATGAAGTAATGTTTATAGACAAAAATTAAATCTGTTAAATCATCTTAGTGGTACAAGAATAAATAAAACATACTGAAATAGGTTTGATATATGGGTGTATGTGCATGCTATTATTGAGATAGCTATGACATAGAAATTGATGGTATTGTTTTTTCTGGTGCACATAACTTGATTGATGCCTGCTGACAATTAGAGTAGTTCTTGATTTATCGATATGAGAGGATAAAAGTGGATCCTTGCAAATATGAATAGATTTATCAATATGTATGCAAAAATCCAGTGTACTTGATCTATTAAAGTCTATCGTGAATCATTTAAATAATTGATCTGTTTTAATTTGTTTTGATCATCTCGTTTCCCTTATTTGTGATACTTTGTCATGAACAGTTAATAATGAAAGCTTTGGTATGATGATCTTTTGAAGAGAAATTAAACATATGAATTCTTATTATGTTTGATTTAGTTTAACAGATTTACTAAGAACTTATAACTTGTTTTGATCCGAAGCCGAAAAACCGTTGGCTTAGAAACATATGTACTTTCAATGAAGTAGTAAGAAATGTACTATAAACAAATCTGTGTAGCAAAAGAAGGACGTTATGCTCTACACGAGTTATATCCTTGTCAACTATGATGTCAATTATTTCAGTTCACGTTTATTTATTCTAGACAAAAATTCAATGTTAGCTTCTTAATTCATTTTATTATGATTTCCTCCTTATCTCATTAACAGAGGTGCAGAATCTTCCCAAAAACCAAAAATTTCCCCCCCTGGAAAAGTTTTTTCGAAAATTTCCCCGAAGTAAATTTTCCCCAGAATTGTCAAAAATTTCCCCGAAAAATGCAGTTTTTAAAACATTTGTCCCCTCCCCCCCGGCCGGGGGCGCACGAGGAAGATTCTGCACCTCTGCTCATTAATATAAAAATTGAATACTTTCGTTCTCTGTCTTTTTTTCCGCACATGAATTAGAATTATTAATATGCACACATGAAAAGGTATCGATTTAATTTAATAAATGAATCAACAATGTTTTTTTTTTATTTTAGTTCAATTAATAAGAATGTTTTCCGAAAAAAGAAAAGGCAGGCTAAGCCCATTGATATTTAGAAAAAAAAGTATGCGTCATTGCACAGCAAATAATCGCAATATGTTAATAGAAAAAAAAAAAGTCAAATCGTAGAAATATTTATGAAGCTACTGATTTAGCACGTGAAAGAATTTCACGCGAAATAATTAAACGTTGAACTTGAGATGTACCTTCATAAATCTATAAATAAAATAAATATTAACTTCGTTATCATTCAATCTAAAAAATGTATATACTTGGAAGATTTTAGCATCTCGCATAAGTTTTTCAACAGGATATTCACTATTAAATCCATTACCACCAAATATCTAAAAACAACAAAAATATAAGATATTTTTTAATAAAATTTAAATTTTTCTTACTTGTACAGCATCGGTTGCTGATTTATTAGCAACATCAGATGCTAATGCTTTTGCTATTGATGCATAATATGTATTTTTACCACCGTTATCAACTTGCCACGCAGCTTTATGTGTAACTAAACGTGCTGATTCAATTCCAATAGCCATTTCAGCAAGCATAAAAGCGATAGCTTGATGTTCAGCTATAAATTTGCCCATAGTTTTTCGTTGTAATGAATATTGCGTTGCTTCATCCATTGCACGACGAGCAAGACCAATTGCACCAGCAGCAACAGGTGGACGTGTTTTATCAAATACTAACATTGCAACTTTAAAACCTTCACCTTCTTTACCAAGAACATTAGCTGCGGGTACGCGCATATCTTCAAATGTAAGACCACGTGTATCTGAAGCTCGTTGACCCATATTCCATTCCTTAAAAATAATTGACTTAAGTTTTTAATATAATTGACAAAAAATTAGAATTTACTTTTCGACCTCGTGTCAAACCAGGATTTTCAGCTTCAATAGCAAATGCAGTAAATGCTTTACTAGCAGGTGCTTTTGGATCAGAATTAGTACGAGCCAAAAGGAAAAACCAATTAGCTACGCCTAAACATTCAATTTTGTTTCCTCTATTAAAAGGATTCAATAAAATCTTGTTATAATTTACCTCCATTAGTAATCCACATTTTTTGCTAAAAAATTTCATCAATGTTAATACAAAATAGAAAGAATATATATCTAATTTAATACGTACTCCATTGACAATATATTCATCACCTTTTTTTTCTGCTTTTGTTTTAATACCAGCAACATCTGAGCCAGCACCTGGTTCAGTTACACAATATCCCTAAAACAATTAAATATAAACAAAAATTTCAATCTGTATTATATACTTACACACATTAATGGTTCCTCAATTAATCGTCCTAAAAATCTCTTTTTTTGTTCATCATTACCAGCAACAATAACTGGAGCCATCTAAAAACAAACCAGTCAATAATTCAATAAATTCAAAAAACTTTAATTTACTCCAAGTGAATTTGCTTCAAGAGCGGTTTGAATTCCAGTACAACTATATAAAATAAAACTATATATAAATGAATATTGATATTTAATTTACCCATAGGCTAATTCTTCTGTAACAACACATGAATCAAGAATACCAAGTCCCAAACCGCCTAGATAAATAAACAAATAAATTTCGGAAATATTCTCAAGGAAAACAAACCATATTTTGTTGGTATATGCATATTCATTAAACCAAGTGCATGAGCTTTTTTCACAATTGGCCATGGATACTAAAAGAATATCAATAAAATTCAATCGAAATGAAAGGTTTTCTTCTAGTGCGAGTTTTGCCTGCGATTGATCCAGGTAGAATTTGATAAGCTTTACCGAATTATACGCTCAGATTCTCTATAGATGGCACTGTTGAAAGCTTGAAAACTTTACTTTTGTCTATAGACAATCTGAGCACACCATTCGATAGGGTTCAACAAATTCCTGCTTAGGACGTGAATGGAACACATACCTGGACAAATCGCACGTAATCGTGTATTTTTAAAAAAATACTTAGCAAGGGCAACTTGACCGCATTTTTGGGTTCGGATCTACCTGTTCGTTATTATTAACTTAATTTTCAAAGAGACCTGTTTTTATTCTTTCTGAGTAAATTTTCTCAATCATTATATTTCTTATTTGAATTATTTTTACCTCTCCTGTCTTATCATAATGTGCAGCAACTGGTATAATTTCTTCTTTAGTAAATTTTCTTGCTAATTGTTGCATTTCTTTTTGTTCGGCACTCAATTCTTTAATAACAAAAAATAAAATTATATCAAACAATATTCTTTTCTACATACCAAAATTAAGACCACCAGCTGATTTTTCTTCTCCCAATGATGCTTCATTATGTGATTGTCGAAATTGTTGTAAGGATAATCTCTAGAAATTTGAAAATAAAATTTCTTTGATTTAATTGTTTTTCATCTCACCACTGATGATGGAATTTTCGATAATAGAGCTTTTGAATGTTTCATGATTGCTAATATTAAATACAAACGACACGAAAAAACTAGTCAAAAGAAACTTTGTACCCTAAAGTATAAACGCTAAACAATGGATAACCAATCATTTTATTCAAAATTTTATCAAATTTTATTGGTTAATCTTCATACCAATTGATACGACCTTCAAGTAAAGGTGTATTTTATACATTCAATTTTTAGATACTTTAGTTTTTTTTTCTTCAAATATCTAACGTTTTAATGGCATCATATTTACGCACAGTTGCAGGAAGTTCACCATCAAGTGTTAATTCAAATAGTCCAACAAATGATTTAGGCAAACGTATAGCAAAATGGGCTTTAATTATTGGAGTACCGACAGCAGTTTGCGTTGCTGCCTATCTTGTATATCGACAACAACAAGATCAAGCAAAAAAAACAGCTAATAGACAATCTTCTTTACCTACACCATTGTCTAACACTAGTGGAAATACAACGAATACATTAGAAAATCGACCAAAAGTAACAATTAAATTTCTTTTTAATTGAAAAATTAAATTGTTCTTTTGATTCATAGGATCGTTTAACTTTAGCTATGGAATTAAAAAATGAAGGCAATATTAAATATCGTGAACATAAATTTGATGAAGCTATTGATTATTATACAAGTAGAAAATATTCGAATTATTTATTGTATTTCTTCATATTTTAATTTTTTACAGAAGCTATTGAAACTTGTCCATCGGAATCACTTGAAGAACTTTCACAATTTTATCAAAATCGTGCAGCTACTTGGGAATCACTGGTATGATTTCTATACTCATGATTTTTTTTTCGAATGAAATGAATTCTTTAGAAAAATTATGATAAAGTTATTGAAGATTGCTCAAAAGCTATTGAACTTAATGCTAAATACATTAAATGTATCCAACGACGTGCTCGTGCAGCTGAAACAATTGGAAATTTTGAATTAGCTCTCGAAGGTTTGTTTAACAAAGATCTATTTTTGGTAGATAAAAAATGTCATGACTTTTGTTATATCAGTAATATTAGAACGAGTAAATAGATCTGTTTCCGTTACAAAAGTTTTCATTCCATACGAGATCATTGATAGCTTATCTAGTTATCAATACATGAACTTGAATATTAATTTCCTAAATAATATATATATATATTTCATTATAAAATAATCAGCTCATATTTCATGACAATTATAAAAATACAAACAAGATCAGGATTTTTTTCAATTTTATCAAGGTCCTTAAGTCTACTATAAAAAGTCTATTTTACACCTTATTTCCTTCTTCCGATATTAAACAAAAGATTATTTATAAATACGACGTCATGAGTTTAATTGTATTTTTATGGTTATCATGAAACATAGATTGATCAGTGTTTTATCTAGATTTTTTTCTTCCGAGAGGGCGATAGTGATTTCCGGGAGGCAAAATACATAGTATAAGCATGAAAATTGCAATTTTCGGGAAGGTGCCGCCATCTCTGCCCTCCCTCTAGATCAGTCACTGAGACTGATTATGGATAGAATGTTTCATATTTTATTATTTTCTATAGATTATTCAACAGTATGCTTTCTTGATTCATATCAACCAGCATATATAATGGCTGCTGATAAAGTTCTTACCGAACTAGCTAAACGTTATATTGAAACTTTACCTGAAGTAAGCTAAAAATTCTTTTTACAATAGATTATAATGAGATTTGTTTATAAGAGTACTGCTGAATTATCTAAAGATTATGTTCGTACATCGCTCAATGAATTTGAAGATGATCCAACATTAAGCCAACTATTTATGAATGAAGTTCGTACTACGCAACCAGAAAGTCCATTAGCACATGCTTATGAAGCATTTGAACAAGGTCGTTTCACTGATATACCATCATTATGTACACAAGAACTTGATCTAGAGAATTCATCACTATATGAATTACAAACTTTATTATTTCGTGGTTCAATCTATTTACTTATGGGTAATTATACAGAAGCCATAGCTGATTTTGATAGTGTTATTAATAATTCAAATGCTACAGAAAAGGTAATTACAAAATATTCATTATTATTTTCCATGAAAGAAAATTTTCAAAATTTTAGTTAAAACTCAATGCTGAATTAAAACGTGCTAATACAAAAATTCATCAACGTGATCTTGAAGGAGCTCTCTATGAATATGATCAATGTATTAGAAATCATCCAAATGAATGTTCACCACGTGTTCATCGTGGAATGGTTTGTTCTATTAAGAAGTTTATTTTTCTATAAATAAATTTTCTTTTCTCTGATTATTTAAGCTTAAAACATTATTAGAAAGTTATTCTGAAGCTCATGATGATTTCAATGAAGCACTTAATATCTCTCCAACAAATCTTCGTGCTAAATATCAAAAACTAATAAACGACGCAAAAATTGGTGCTAAAGAAAATCGACCAGAACGTGTTGAACAAGCATTAGCTAGTTTTGAAGAATATTATGATACATGTAAACAAGATATTTATTACGCTCTTGCATTAACATCGGTAAATAATAACTTGGAAAGGGTCAAAAAAAAGCCTACATATATTTTTAATTATTTAGTGTTATTTGGATAATGATCGTAAAGATAAAGCACTTCAATATTTAAATAGATTTGTTAAAGAAATTCCAGATAATCCAACATTAATGGCACTTAAAGCGTATGTAAAAGATCTATAAATCACAATTTTGACTGACTGTTTATTTGTTTAGTAATTGTTTAATGTCGAGTGATCCATCGAATAATGCTGATGCTGAAAGACTTTTTACTGAAGCTCTTCAAGTTGATCCTTCCAATGAAACTGTTCTAACAATGTTTGCTATATTTAAATGCAACCAGTTCGTTTAATTTCTACTTTTTGTCTTTTAAATATTTAATTCTTTGATTAGAAATCAATTTGAGGAAGCTGCAAAATTATATGAACGTGCAATTCAATGTACACGTGGTGATGAAAAACTTCTACAATATGCTGCATTACTCTATGCTATTCGAGCTCAAGGTCGAGCGATTAAACGTCTTAATCTAAATTTTCCAGGTGGTTTTCCACAAGCTGGTGCATTACCTAATTGGATGGGTGGTATGGCTTAGAAAAGCAAAGCATACTATAATTGTTATAATGTCTTAATTGGTTTTCTTTCCGAGTGTAGCACATTCTTTCAACAAAAAACTATTCTACATTTGTTTTTTGCTATTATAAAATTTTGTTTCTTTTTTTTTGATATGTGATTATAAACAAGAACAAAAAAAAACATATTTGTGAACATTATTTAAATGAATAAGATAAGAAAATTTACATCGAAATAACTACTGTTGAATCTTTAATTAGAATGTAATATCATTAAGATCTATAAAGATTATTATTTGAAGAAGCATCCATGTCTAGAATATTCTTTTGATATAAAATAACCTATTTTTATCATAACAGAACATAAGAATGCATAATTGAAATGTCTATATTTATAATAAAATGCTTTTTCATTGAACATATGTTACTTAATTTGAAATTTTATAAACAATTAATTGTTTAATGAATTCAAACAATCAAGCAGAATTTATCTAGTTAAAATATTTCCAGATTTTCAGATGGACACGATTAACTATCTTTTTTTTTGTCTATAACTAAAACAAAAAAAAAATATGGTCTAGATTTTCACACTAAGAATAAAACTGATATAATCTCGTCTAAAGATTTTTACTATGATAAGATGCTTTGTAAGCAGGAAATAGACTTATAGGCTATAGTACTTTAGAAAAAAAATGTCCGTTTAATAATGAATGAACTATTTTTTCAATTTGTAGAGTAAAATATAGGAACTTGAGTAAATTTATTTTCTCATGTGTATCGAGAGAAAAAAAGAAATCGGAGTAAATATATTTAAAAGCTTTTGGCACATTGTCGATATTGTCATAATATGCTTTTAAAAAAAAGGACATGTTTTCAAGTAATTATGGAAATCATGTAATATTCGCTTTTAGAAAAATTTACATTAAGTTTTACATATTTTAATAGAATTGTTGAAAAACTAATTTGATAGTAACATTCTTGTTAAATGACTTTAATAGACAAGCGTACAGCGTTAATTATTTCGGAAATGCGAACAAGCATGTACGTTTTTTATTCTAGTAAGCTTTATGAATTTCCGTTCAAGCGTAAATGTGTTTATATCTGCCTCTTTTTCTCCTTCTCTATCTTTTTGATGGTCGACAACGGAAGTGACACTGTAAAGTACATTGGACGGATGTATGCACCCACAATTCAATCGTTACATGCGTGCAATGTGCGTGCTAAGTCGATTGAACGGCCTGAGTATGTCCCATGGGACGCTACAAAAACCAACAAATAAGTACAACAATAATATGTTTCTTCTCCTTCTTTCCCATAAGTATACGTGCTTTTCATAAGTATCTCTTTGGCAATCAGATAAAGTCATCATATACATAATGCTTTAGGCATAAAATTAATTCTGTTGTTTATATTATAATATAAGTCAGGTGTATTAGAAACTACGTAGCACTAATGAACAGTAATTACTCTTATATATACAATAGAGTTTTATTTGACATTATATAAAACATACCATTAAATTTTTTTTTGGAATTAATGTTTCCAGGCGAATAGTTAATCCTCTGACATATTCATGCTACGTCTTTTCTCACACTTTTTTCCACTTGGATTCGCTTTTTCACTCGTTCTTTTCTTCTTCTTCTTCTGCTTCTGCCTCTTCTACTTCTACTTCTTATAAGTTTTTCTTATATTTAATAATTTCGGGAACGTGAATTATGTTCATGTGCTATTGTATGCGGTAGTAGGACCATCAGCGACAGATTGTGTTCGTTCATGTCTTCTCCTTTGCGACATGCAAAAGAATAGAGAGAGGGAGAAGAAGAAAGAATGACTTAGTAACCTCCTCTTCGCCTGCTATGTCGTCTATTTCAGTATTTTCTCAAGCAAGGAAGTTTTGCAACAAACTATCCTTTTCTTCTTAGTGTCTGTCATACAATGAGACAGAAAAGCAAGGGAGAGGGAGAGAGAGAACTAGGGAGAAAACGAAAGGAGAAGAAAATATATAGAGAGACAAATGGTTAACTAGAGAACGAGAGTATAACAAGAAAAAACAATCATTTTTATTGTAATTATAATTTTGTTGGTCATGTACGCACGCACGCACAATTGCTGCTGTCATTCTTTTGTTTTTATAATGTTAAAACGATGTAATGATGAATCTTGCAGATGCAGGTAATCAAATAGCTCATAAAAAATATAAGTTGATAGTAGAAGAAAAGAGACCGAGGTAGAGAAGGAGGGAAAGAGATACAAAGAGAGAGGGAGAGAGAAGGAGAAGGAGAAGGAGAGAAAGAGACAGGAAAAGAAGACGAAAAACCTCTTTACATTGTCAGTCTATTGAATACCCATCGACGAGAGAACAAAGATAGTAACATTATTAATAAAAAGGTAAAACAAAGACTTTGGTGTTTATTTTTCTTCGAACAATTAATAGTTGCTTTGAGTATCATCAATAACATTGTTGTCGGCAAATGTTTTGCTCAATATATATGAAAATGATGAATAAATAAAAATATTTACTACTTATTGTCTTTTTAAAGTTCTTCTCTATCTATTATTCTTAAGATTTACACTTTATAGATGAAGATTATTAGATTCCTTATCTTTACTAATCATACAATTGTTCATCAATTATCATGATTCGACGTCAAATCTTATTAACTGTTCTTTTTGGACTTATATTTCAAATATTTTTCTCAACAACAAATACACTTTCAATAAATGAAACGAAATCAAATGAATGGACATCAGACAATCCAAATAATATATGTGAATCAGCATCTATTGATGAATTTCCAATATTATTTTTTACTAATGAACAGTGTCGTCAGGGTGCTGTTCTAGTTCATATTCTACTTATACTCTATTCATTTGCAGCTATTGAAATTGTTTGTGATGATTATTTTGCTTCGGCATTAGAAAAAATAAGTTATAATTTAAATTTAACTCCGGTATAGAAATTTTTTCAAGAATAAGATCAATAGAATAATTTTTTTTTGTTTCTATTAGGATGTCGCTGGAGCAACTTTTATGGCATTAGCAACATCAGCATCAGAATTTTTTACATCGATAGTTGGAGTTTTCTTCGTCAAATCGGATATCGCTCGTAAGTTAAAATTATAAAAAAATGACATAGACATATTTATAATTAACTATAATTATAGTAAGGAATCGGAAAGTATTGACGTAGACTATTTTTAATTCTAAATATAGGATGAAAACAAAACGGAAGCAAAAGAAAATGTTATTTCTCTTCTCTTTAAAAAAAAATTTTAAATCATGTATTTTTTATTCTTATTTTAAGTGGGTACAATTGTTGGTTCTGCTGTATTCAATGTTCTTTTCGTAATTGCTTTATGTGCTCTTATATCGACAACTGTATGTCAATTAGAAGCCTATCCAATTGTACGAGATGCTGGATTTTATTGTATTGCTGTTGCTGCCCTATATATAGTGATCTATGATCAACGTGTTTATTGGTATGAAGGACTTGCACTTGTCTTACTTTATTTTGTTTATGTGGCTATTTTAAAATTTAATGATCGTATATCACGTTTAATACATGGAGATTCATCAAATCAAACACATGGTAAATCAGGTGAACATAATCTTGAACAACTACAAGTATTAAATGATAATGTTGAATTAGAACAAAATCTAACTACACGTGCTCGTTCAGTTTCAGAATCTGTTATGATGAATACAGGCATAACACCATTAGGTAATCAATATATGAAACGACGTTCAACATATAAACCATGTCAAAAACGACTTAAAGATACATTAGATAATCATCAAATAGTTGCGAATGCAACTGAAATCTTTGATCCACTTAAATTACCAACAAAAAGATATAAAATATTAAAATGGATTCTTATGTATCCAGTTCGTTTACTTATGCATATTACAATACCAGATTGTCGAAAAGAAGTTTTTCATAATTATTATATGCTTACATTTGTTATGTCAACTATTTGGGTAAATATTTATTCTAATAAAAGATAAAGATTATGATTTATCTTTGTTTCTTTTTAAAAAAAACATAGGTTGCTGGTCTAGCTTATCTACTTGTATGGCTTGTTGTCATTGTTGGTTTTACTTTAAATATTCGAGATAGTATTATGGGTTTAACAATATTAGCTGTTGGTTCATCAATTGAAGAAATATTCTCAGCTATTGTTATGACAAGACGTGGTCATCCTGAAATGGCTATTGCAGGTTCAATTGGTTCAAATGTATTTGATATTTTAATGGGTTTAGGTATACCATGGTTATTTCGTAATTTAATGAGATTTACTTATCAACCACCACCACCAATTCTTGATGGTTCAACTCTAGGAGTTCTAACACCAGATCCATTACTTGATAATCGTGCGACAATTCCACCTGTTAATATTCCATTCTATGTAGAAATTCATTCACGAGGATTAGTTTATTCAACAGTCGTTCTCTTTATTGCACTCGTCATATTTCTTTTAACATTCTTTGTGAATCGATGTCGTTTAACAAAACTCTATGGAGTTTTTCTTATTATTATTTGGCTGACTGTCATAACATTGATGTGTTCATTTGAATTGAATATTTTTGGTTCGGTACATCCTGAGCCATGTAAAAAAAAGACTTAGTAATATTATTTAAAAAATAAACTTTTATGTCTATGTTTCTTTCTTTTTTTTTTTGTATATGTATTTTGATGTCAATGAAACAGAAGAAAAAAAAATATTATTTAAACTATTTTCGTCTCAATAAAGAAAAAGATGTTATTCATAGAAACTCTCATACAACATAATCAAATAAAGTTTACGCACAAGATGAAGAGAGAATGAACGAAAAAAAGAAAACGTTTATTTGCTTTTAGATAGAATAGAAAATTATGATGCGCTTCGAAAATCTAGAAAATAAACGATATTATTATTTAATATATATGTTACTAAATACAGACAGAGAGAAAAAAACGGCTTTTTAATGTCTCTACATTGACAAACTAATTAAAAGGAACAAATTGCATTTTCAGATATGTGAAATAGAATACATGACTGAATCTCTAAAAGGCTTTTAAGCCTTGCCTCTTTTCTTTTCTTTTTTTTTTCGATCACTCCCTATATATTCTCATTTTATCTTAATGTAATAAGCATCATCAACATTTCCATACTCATTTATTCCCAAAATAATAAGTGATAGTGTTCAATTCAATAGTAATACATTGTTAACGAGTTTTAACGCTTATACGATTAGTTTATAGACGAAAAACTAAATGATTCTCAAGCTTTTTTTTCCTACAAAAATAAATACCAAAAAAAAACAAGAATCAGTGCTATTTTATGCATTTAAAGAACAGATTAGTTCAGTTCTTAACATTCAAAATCAAATAAAATATTTATAAACAATTGTAATCAACGATTATTATATGAAAATAAATAAATCTTTCATTCGTATATATATTTTCGTTAGAATCAAGTATAAATTAGCATTCTTTACATTTCATACCAAGCTATAACGAAGCCAATTTATTCACATATCAATAATACATTTATATTATAAATTTGTAGGTCAATTTATAATTGGCCGTATTTCATTTTTAGAATCTCAAAATTATAATATTGTTTCTACTGCTCACGTGAACTAATTAAGAATGTAGAAACGACTAGATATATATCTAATAAAGCTTTTAGAAAATATATTTATTGTTAGATATTAATAATTCACTTCATTTCCTTCCTTTGTCTTTTATGCAATATGAATTATGAATTTGTTTAATGTAAAAAATAATTTTACATCACACTCTTATAATATAAGACATTTTTCATTTGTTCCCTTTGGTAATGAAAAAAGGAAATTAAAAGTTAATATATCTATCATTTACACTATTTCTATTCTACACACATTCTATCAATATTGCAATAACTTCCTGTAACTTATTTTTGTTAATATATTTTTTTTTGTCAATGAATTGTAAAGTATTAAATAACGAGATTTTTTGTTATTCTTCTATTTTGTCAATCATATTAAACAGAAAAAAACATATTTTTATATCGAATTAAAATTTGAACAGAAAAAAAACGATCACCAATAAACATTTTCTTATGTATTTCATTAGATTGTTAATGAAATTAAACAATACGTGAAATCTGTCTATACGTTGATGTACGTTTATAATAATCAGTAAATAAAAATTTATCTGTTAGAAAATATCTTATTGTATTAAGTAAACGACAAGGCTTTATTTGTGTCAAATATGACCATGCATTTGTGGCGAAATCTGTTAGAGTAAATGGAGGATAACCACCTGAATATAAATATAAGAGAAAAATTAATAAATTTAAAAGAACAAAAACTATTTTTACCATTAAGATAACGAACAAAACAATATGCATCTAAATGTTCACCTTTAATAAGATAATAATATGGTAGATGTGTACGATATTGAAATAAATTTGATTGATAAAATTGTATTGCTTGTTTATTTGAATGTAAAACATGTAAATAAACAGCTTTACATGTTTCATGTCTATATAATGTATTTAATAGATTTTCTAATAGAAGATTTGCTAGACCTTGTCGTCGATATTCTTTAACAACACCTAATATAAGTATATAACAAGCTGATGCTGTTAATGAAAATATTCTGTTTAAAATTTGTTGATCTTCACGATTACAATTTTCTATTGGAAGTATATTAGCAACAATTAAACCAATAATTTGTTGTGTACAAACATCACATACAGCTAATGCAAAATATTTCTTATCATAAACTATATCATCATACCATTTATCTGGATATTCAATAGGAAACCAATCACGACAAAGAATTTTAACTTCCGATTGATCACCAGGACGTAAAAAACGAAATGTTATTGATAAATTACTATTTGGTAAAACATGAATCGATTCAGTATCAAATATATCTAGATTAAGTAATATTGATGATGATGATGATGTCTGCATGTGACGATGTTTAGAATGACGACGACGAGTTCGAATGAAGTTGAAGTCTTAAAAATAGAGAAAACACATAAAAAGATTAAAATAAATGAAAACAAACTTTTTTCCTCATTGTGATTTTATTGATGAAACCTATAGTAATAACTGAAACATGTATTGAATGATCGAGAGACTTGTCTACACTCTCTTTCATCTATGTACCGTGAATCTATTGCTTTACGGTCGAATGTCTATTCATATACAATATCATGTTCAGTACAATGATTTTTTGCTATTGGTCTTGCTAATTTCACTCTTATAACATAAACATATATGTACACCCTTTTCTTGACCTTTCTCTCACGTATTGTAGGCAAACACAGCATATACATAGAATACTATTGTGCTGTAGTGGAACAGGTTTTTCTTCATCTATTATCAATATTTAACAAGTAACGCTCGTCCGAAGATTCGCTTAGCTCTTCCTCGTAGAAACGCATCTTCTTCACATTTACTGGAAAAAACAATTCAGAACCAGTTTTCGATGTTTTTTTGACCTTTGCTCCCCTCCATCATGGCTACCCAATAGACCTCAGATTTACAGTCCCCGCATCGAAATGTCTTTTCCGTAAAATTGGTGTTCGATGTTTTTTTGACCCTACGGACACACAAGCAAGCAAACAATTTATGTTTACTGGACTCTTCTGTACGGGATATAGAATTACTTTATTTATTTTCGAAAAAAAAACTTACCCGACAGTTTTACACTTTTTTATAAAACAGTAACAGTTCGTCGGTCTTCATCTGAAATAACTAAAAACAAATAAAACATATCTATATTTCTGTCATTTTAGACAAAAAATAAAATAGTTTTTCTTTTTCGATCGTCTATTATAAATGAAAGAGAAACAAAATATACAATTTACAGCTAATTAGTGCCAGTCAAAGTTATGATTCATACGAAAAATAATTTATCAGATTCAACAATCTATAGTTAAGAACAAAAAAGAAATACAAATACTCAGCTATCAATCTGAAAAGAGTGCTTAACTTTCTTTTACTGTATTCAATAAAAAATTAAAATAGTTTAAAAGAAAGAAAATTTATTTTCATTAAAATATTTTTATGCATAATAAAACTTGGAAAAAAAGAGCATAAAATTTTCTAATTACTGTTTATTCTATATGAAAATTAAATATTTAAAACTAGTAAAAGAAATATAATACAATGTCACTGTCTCTCTCTCTCTTCGTCTTTTTCGCTTTTAGATAAATAAAGTCATTCATCGGTTTTCAAAATGAAATAGTGAAGATAGTCTTAACACAAAAACTCTTGAAAGACATTTGAATCTTATAATATATGCATATGTATATATATATCTAAAATTTTAGAGTTAGTTTAATTATTATATCTACATTTGTAGAATAAATATATATAGAGTTCAAAAATCTGAGATAAAATCTGTTGAGATATTTGCTTTAACAATGTGGACGATGTTCACCATACATAATTAACCTTTCAGGTTCATTAATAAGTTCATCATTATGATCATGAAATGTTCCAATTCCACCAGACATTTGTCCTCGTGTTATAACATTTTCATTGTAATCTTGATTAAAATTACTTAATGCTAATAGAACAGAATTATCAGCTGCATCAAGTTGACCAATACCGGATGTATTCGTTAATACATTTGATGGTATATATCCAGCATAAGGTGTTTGATCTAGAGGATTAATTAATGATGATGATTCCATTTTAGATTCATCATCTTCCATTATTGTTGATATATGATTACGTTGTAAATATGACACTGTACCAGGTGAATTTTGTGAATGATGAAGTTGTTGTTGTTGTAATAAATAATTTGTTGTCATTACTTGACCTGTTGTAACACCACAATAATCACGTAAAGAATTAACTTGTGTTGTTAACATATTCATACCAGCACGCATTAAATTACCGGGATTACGTAACGATGATAATGTTTGATCACGCATAGTATTTAAACGATGTTGACTAGTTTCACGAATTGAATGAAGATAAGCAGCAGAGCTAGAAGAAAAATAAATAAATAATTTTCTTATTTTGATTAGTTTTCTCGAAAAATAATTTACCTTTCAGCAGCTTGTCGAATAGTTCCACCAGCGTGTTGTACACCATAGGTAAATAATTCTGATGCTCGACCCATTGTTTGTCCCATATGTTCACTAACTTGTTGTACACCTAAACGAAGTTTATCACGAACTTGTTCAAGTGTTCCACTTATATTTGCTGCTGCTAATGATAACCATTGATTTAATTCAAAATTTGGTGGTGTACGTGAAGCACTATTAGGTGTCATCGTTGGATATATTGGTGGTGTTCGTAAATGATCAGCTGAATAATATGAGGTTCGTTTTATTGTTACACAAAGTGCACCAGCAACAAGTGCCATAAAAAATCCAAATGCCATTGTATAAATAAGATGCCATAGAGCACGTTTTTGTCCGTATGAATTGATATCAAAATCAAATTCATGTGTATATATTCCAAGCATATTAATACCGGAACATGAAATATGATGTCGTAAACCAGCACGTGCTTGTGTTACCGATAAATGATTTGTATTGAATGCATGTAATATATGTCGTGTACGGGCAGTTAATGGACCAGCTAAAGCTGTTAATGTAGTATAGATTGGTTCATCATAGACTGATGAAAGTAAATCAATATTTGATGAATTTATTGTTGTGAGATTACCAAATGGTGTTGACCAAATAATAATAGGTGCAGGTTGCGCATTAATTGGACAGATAAGAGTAAATGTTGAAAAACGTAAATAAGTCGCAGGATGAGCATCATATGGTCGAGATTCATGATATGGTGCCAAACAATTATTGCTATCACTCTAAATTATAATATTTAAAAGTATTGTAAAAATCAAAAGTAGAGAACTATACAATGCGCTATTTATACGCTAAAATCTCATGTAATTTAAATTTACTCTAATATAAATATTTTGAATCTAATCTGAATATAATATTATCAGAAATAATAACTATGTACCTTTTATATTAAAATCTATTTCGATTAATACCAAATCAAAAAGTATCTTTTTCAATTACTACGCGTATTCAATCAATTATTGATGAAAGTCGATTTTGCCATTCATCAACGATTACTATGTTCATTACTGCGCATTCTCCACGTCCGATTTGATATTGTATGCCATGACGTATTCTAATCTTTTCAAGTCAACCGTTACTAGTCTTAAAATCATCGGCATCTGCTACACCAAGTTATTGACGAATTTACTTGACTTGTTGTTGAATGACCAACCATTCATAAACTTCTTCATTGGGCTGTTGATTTCTTACTGTATTCATAACTTTCTTTGTATTCTCTGTTGCGTTTGATAATATTTGATATGCTATCAATCGAGATTTTGTACTTTTCGGCAACTGTACACTATGAAGCGTTATCTTCATTTCTAGGAATTACTTGCACTTTCTCACATAACGTTAATGTGTGTTTTATCGCCATTTCACAATCAAAGATAGGAATATGTATTATTCTCTCAAATAGAATCGGCTAACTCATCGTGGACTATTCACTCTCATTGTTCATAGTTGGAAGGTGTTCATCTTATGAAGGGCTACTTACAGTAAAAATCCATGAGGGGGACTGAAACATCTGTTCAAACCGGAGATGTTCATCAACAGAGGTTTCACTGTAATTAGTTTTTAACTTGAGGACTCATTGGTACAACCTATAGCAGTGCATTTTAGATATCCAAGAAGTTCATAAAAGTTGTTCAACAAAAACTATAGAAATATAGGAAAGAACGAAATATATATGTATATCGCGAGTTACAACAGCAAAGCAAGAAAAAAGTGGAAATTGTTTCAGAACTTAAGACAAAAGAAAGAAATTTGAAACAACAATCTATTGAGATCCATATTTTTTACTATTCGCTTAGGATAAACTCTACTTAATTTAGTTCATTGTAATATAAAAATAAAAGAAATCAAAAGGCAAAATCTATTCCAAAATACTATATCTATATTTCGCTGATTTTTAACTTTTTTCTGCTCGAACTAGTTCATCTCATTTCTGTACATTCTAATAAATCTATACAAAGAAAGTTCACATACTGTTAATTGTTTTAAATTAGTTGATTTTTGGCATATAGTTCGATAAAATTCAGGAGTACATTCACAATTGAGTGGGTTATTATTTAAAAGTATATTAAAACTAAGTATCAATTGTGGTAAAATACGTTTTAATTGATTATTTCTTAAATCAAGTTTAGTTAAACTTTTTAAATGAGAAAAAAGTCGAGCATCAAGAATTTCTAAGCGATTATTTGCTAAAGAAATTATTTCTAATGATTGTGGTAAAACAACAGTATCAATACTAAATTGCCGAATATTATTTGATTGCAGTATTAATTGACGAAGTTTGGATGTATGACGATTGGTTGGTGTTATAATAATTGTTTGAAATTGATTATTACTTGCATTGAATAAACGTAATGTTGATGGATAATTATCAATCGTAAATGTTGATAGTTGATAATTTTTTAGAAAAATTCTTTCAACTTTTTGATTAGTTAAAACAGATTGATAATCAATATTTGCTGTTTGAGTTTTATTTGATTTATATGAATTATTACATATCCATGTTTGGGATGATTTTGTATAACATTGGCTGTAAATCACAGGTGGAAGGATCAAAATATATAAGAAGAGAATGTTAATAAACATCTAGAATGATTGAGATGTATTAGTGATTTAACACAAAACATTAAGATATTATATGATTTAATAAACAATAAATATATATCTCGTCATATAAATGGTCGTTACATATTTTAAGAATAATATAAAAAACTTACAAAAATTTTTCTTTCAATTCTGCTTCTATTTATCTTTATTATTTCAAGACAAAACGAAATATTTTTGTTTAAGAGAAAGGCAAGCACAAAAAAAATAGTGCCAAAAAAAAAGAAGGAAGACGGAGATTAAATATAGATATGTTTTCTTTCTACACGAATATTCAAATGCTACGATGAAGAGTAGTCACACATAAACTTTATACAAAAAAAAAGACGAACGTGATTTTATGAATTATCTGACAGAGAGTTAGAGAGAGAGAGAGAAGAGTCTGAAATGAATCTGATTACATAACATCAACAAAAAATTCTCGGGGTAATGGATTTGTCATCGCACGTTGAAATGATTCTTTGCTTGAGCGTAATTTATTTGGTACATCAACTAATTGTCGTGTATCACTACCACTACTCGTCGATGTTGAGCATGATTTTGTACCAAAAGTACCTGAAAAATAATAAGACGAATATTAATTAGATTACAAAAAAAGTTAGAATAGGTTTTTTTTTGCTTTTTATTGTAAAGAAAAAGATTTTTTATCACACAAAGAAAAAAATGGAAATATTTGTAGCATCGTGTTCATATCTGACAAATTCGAAATATACAAGATTAAACTTCGACAGGTGATGAACATGTCGTAATTTCATTATCATCATTGCTACTGCATAAAGCCGCCGGATTGATACACGAAAGACGTCGACAATGAGAATTTTTCACGCACATAACTAGACACAAGACATAAAAAGTGCACTCGCACAATTTCATTCGAATATCTAATTGAAGTATTCGTTTTTTTCTATCTTCTTCTTTAACTCACCTGAATTATGTGTATCAGCTAAGAAGGATTGTGTAGGTGATTGAAGTGGAGCATTGTTTTTATCAACAAAGCCAAATGTTGTTACAGTATTTTGTCTTGTTGTTGTCGTTAATAATGAATCACCACTACGACGATCAGTAGTATTCGTATGATCAGAAACAGATTCATAATCTTCAGGTTCTTCGTCGAGTGTTAATTGAGATATACCTAAATATATATATATGTATTGTTAATTTGAAGAGGAAGAATATATTATTTACCTTGTGAATAAATATCGCCAAAAACATAATAACACTGTTCAGAAAATGTTAATTTATGAACGGTATGTCTAATATAGCCTGCTTTAAGCATTGATGATGCATATTTTCTTGCATCATTTCTATTAACAAATCCATCAACATTTTCATATAACCAATTAACTAAATCTGACCCTAAATTATCAAACAAAGTTTTTATTTTTCTCAAAAATATTTTTTTTATACATACCAAGAAATGATTTTGGTATAGGCATTTTAAGCCATATTCTATCACGTATATCTAAGCCTGAATCAGGTTCGGCCATAGCTCGTACAATAGTATCCATATCAGAATTAATTGTCAAATTAAGATCAAGACCAAAACCTTCAAAAAAAAATTGAATTAAAGGTATAATTCAATTTTAATACATACGTTCATTATCGGTCATTGTATTATTTGTACTTGATATTGTTGAACTCATATTTGTAGTTGAATTAAGTACTGATTGTCGATGATGAAGTAAGATTTGTTGTTGAGGATTATTATAAGTATTTTGTACAGCTTGTGTATGTGCAAGCCATGATAATGGATCAACAGGACGTGCTTGTTCATGACGAGGTAAAGTAAAATAACCTCGCGGAGTTGGATCCCAACATTTAGCAACAACTAATTTAATTGGTCTATATAAAGAAAATAATTGTAAAGATGAATAAATATTGAAAAAAAATGTACCCAGGTTTTTGAACAGTTTCACGTAGAATTTTAACAGCATCATCATTCGATAATCCTTCAAAACTAATATCATTTACTTGAAGAATCATATCACCTGGTTCAATACGACCGTCTTGAGCAACTGCACCTCTGAAATAACACGATTTATTTGTTTTTTTTGTTGTTTTGATAATTTTACCCTTTCATTATTGAACCAACATAGATTCCTCCATCACTTGAGCCTGTTTTATCACTTTGACCGACTATACTAATACCCAAAAAATTGACTGCATCTACAATACATTTAATTTCATACAGAGATTCATCAAGTCTATATTTATATACATACCTAAGTTAAGAGTTACCGTAATGATATTTAATGTCATTGTTGAATCAGAATTTAAACTACTGAATGATGATGCCTAAATTTATTGAATTTAAAATAAAAAACCAAATATGACAAAAAATGAATTTACTCGATCAAGTCCTGATGGTAATCGATGTTTTCTACGACGTGGTCGATTTCGACCATGATATCTTGATGAAATTGTTGTAGAATCAGTGACCGTTGAATATCTAAGACATTGAAAGTTTAATAAGGATCACTGTAGTTTACAGATAATATGTGTGAAAATTTAAAATGTGTTATAATTCTCACTATAGGATAATTTATGCATAATTAGAATCACTTATAGGATTAACTTTATTGATAGATCGAATAATTTATTAGTCTATATACTAACCTATCATCTTCGGTTTCATCTAAGAATGTTGTTGACTCCAAATCACTACTTGGAAATGATGATACATCATTAACAGCTCGTGGTTTAACAAAATATTTTTGATAATCCGCACTATTTGCTGATGCATAACGTCGGCTCATACGTTGTAAACGCGGTTGTTGAATATTAAATGAACTATTTGTTGTTGATGTTAACATTGTATCATCTCGAAAATGATGAGGAAGTTTACTTTGTTTACTACCACCACCACCACCACCACCACTTGATGTTGTACTACCTTCAATAGAAACAAGATATGCAAGAATACGATCTTGTTTATCAAATGGTAAAATTTGTTCATCATTAACAATTTCTTCTTTAACTTTTCCAATCGATGGATCATTTGTAGCAAAGAAAAATTTATATTTTGAACAATTACGATCGAGTGCATTTTTAAAATCTTTTAAACACGGCGAACCAGTTACATTTAATTTTGTTAAATAAGGTGGATCTTGATCATCAATATAATAAAAAACTTTGATTTCAGAATTTGGTGTTGATGATGATATTGGCTGTTCAACGGGTGATTTGCCCGTATCTTCACTCATTATGAATTTAATTTTGAATTAATTATCTGATTTGTCACGCATTCTATAAATAATTACAATATTTATCAGCTGCTTTCGAGATTTGACGACGATGCAACAAGAATAGAACAACAACAATAAACAAGACAAAAGGTCGTAGAACAATGATCGAACAATCACTGGAGAAAGATATTGACCAATAATGAACAACTATGATTGTGTACTTCCTCGAATGTAAGAAATCAATTATAGATGGAGTTAATAGGTATATGTAGACGAGACATGATTACTGTTTCGATGTGTGAATTGATTGAATTATATTTATATTCATACGAGCGATGATGTGTAAATAAATAAATTTGTTCATTGACATGGAAATGTATATATTAAGATAAAGAGAAACTTGTGTTTAATACTTTCCCCAAAAAATTCAGCAAAGTAATGAAAGCGATGTTGAATTTTATTGTCTAACTATAATCATTGAATAATTTGTATATAAAAATAATAAAATATTGATTGCAAATATCTTTCTTCACGCTTCATTGATATTGAACGGTTGAAAAATTACTATTTATGAATGTGTTTTGTATTGTATCTTCACATAAACATTTATTTCTCTACAAAGAAACTGTTATGTACGGTATCCAAATATATACGTAGTTTGAAAATGTAATGTACCGAAGAAAACAAATTTACTTGAACAATTGAATTATGGTTAAAATAATGAAAAAAATAAAATTTTGTATTTTATACCAATGCTGAACAAAATTGGTTTTTTCACTTGTACCGACAGTACAGATCGAATTTGCAAGAGTACAAAGTATCATTCGTCATTATATGAAATCTGTTAAAATACAATAGGAACTCTTGCCAGTGAACAATGTATGAAGTTCTTCGGAAGTATCAAATAATGGTTACTATACAAATGTGTAGTAGTTTCAGCAAAAATTGAAAATATTCGTGATAAAAAGATATTTATACTTTTTATAGTACTTAATCTTGAATTCTGTTTATGTTCTTACCATTTATTGAAAAAAAGCAGCTCCCGTCGATTAGATACGAACTTTCAATACGTACAGTTTATTGAATGAATATTACTTCAATATAAAAATTCATCGTCAATCAATCAGCGCCCACGCGAAGGGTCTACGATTGGCGGGGGTGTAGCGGGTTTTGAAAGAGTGTAAAAGGGTATTTAGAGCAGAATTTACTTAAAAAAGCACCAAATTTGTCCCAGATCAACTCCCGTCGTTGAAAAAAAACACAAATTTGCAATTATTGACGGGAGGGGTGTACATTAGGAAACTGCAAAATCACTTGTTTTTCGTCCCGGTCCCGGTCTTGATAAAAGCTTAAGAATAATTCTGGTGTTGTCTTCATCTATGCAAAAAGATTATGAAGTTCACGAAAATTCTCGCTTTTTCGATCGTAAATTCAATCTATACGGTTTTTCTTGAAATATAAAATAACACATTTGTCAATTCTTAATTAAAGAAAAAAAAGAAATAAGAAAATGTCTAGTCTCATACTTGACAAAAACATTGAGGAAGTAGCTGACAATTTTAGTCTTCGTCCCGGTATCGGGACCATTTTGCAGTTTCCTAGTGTAAACTTCCTCACACCCCCTCACTCGCGTGAGTGCTGCAATCAATAGATACGTTTCTACCTAACTTGATTGAATTGATCTTATATTTATGAATTATCACGGTATTATCTACTAGCGACATCGTGTGAGAAAAATAATTTCATTCATTGATCCATATTATACTTTTTTGAAAGGAGGAAGTTAAGTAACAAATATGAAAGAAAGAATATAAATATTTTGAATCTTTGTCAATAACTGTTGTTGTGTTGTAACTTATTATATAAAATAGTTGATATTTCAAAAGATTCTCATCTCTTATGCCTTCAAGAAGTCCACGTTCACGTAGTCGAAGTCCGTCAAGACGACATAAAAAAAGTCATAAACGTTCAAGAAAATCAAGTGATGATAATTCACCATCAACAAAAAATATTTCAATTAAAAAAGAAGAAGAATCAATGAATGAAAATGGAAATAATTCAATTTATAAACCTCGACTTCCATCTGTTATGTTACCACCATCATTTCTAGCTAAATTAGACTTAAAAGAAGAAGAAAAAAGTGTATCACCAGCAGGTGAACAATCACCAGGTAGGAAAAATTCTTGAGCTATTTTTATCTTGTTCATTAATAATTTATTTATTCTAGCTGATGTAAATGGAAATACTACTCAAACGAAAAAAAAACGTAAAAATCGTTTTGCTGATGAAACTGAAAGAGTTTTTCTACCTAATATGCCAACAAATATCTCAAGTAACATGACAGAACAACAACAAAAGATTTATATTTGTAAGAAAATAATTTTTTTTTTCGTTTTTATTAAATAATACAATTATTTCATTTTTAGTACAAGTTCAAATTGAAGAATTAACACGTCGTTTAAAAATGAATGATTTAGGTATTCCAGCTAATGTTGAAGCTAGGTAAATCTATATGAAAATAATTATTCTTTTTATTTCAAGTTTTCTTATTTCTATTCTTTCCCTTTCTTCATAAATTTTACTTTCTCTGAGTATCGATTTGCGTTAGTTGATATGAACACAAAAAAAAGTTCTCTTTTTTGTTTTATTTAGTGCTACGAATTCTTCTTGTAAATGCAGCGAAAAATCCAGACAGAAGTGTTTTTTCCCATTATGTTTTTATTCCTCTAATAATAAAATCCTCTTCCTTTTCTAGTCATCTTCTCCTGTCTATGTGTGACGTTGAACGTCAATCGATATTGAAAGGTGAGATAATAAAAAGAAGCGTACAAACATACATATATATTGAAAAATATAAAATCCCTCTCTAATCAATTTTTTCTTTCAGGTTAAAATTTAATCTTATCTTATTATGTTCTAGTTTCGTATTCTACACAATGGAGTGTATTATTTCTTTATTTTTGTGTAGTAAACAAAACATTAAACAAAAAGAATTAAATGAATCTTTTTTTTCATTTATTTAGATCACCATCACCTGAACCAATTTATGATCAACAAGGAAAAAGACAAAATACTCGTGAAGTTCGAGCAAGACGAAAAATTGAAGAACAACGTCATCAACTTGTTACTGAGTTACTTGTTCTCAATCCAGATTATAAAGCACCATCTGATTATAAGTATGTATTTCATTAGTTAGAATCAAAGATTATACTCTCGAGGAAGTAGGTGTTTGTTGAGTTGATAAGACTAGGGATGCGCAGTTTCAGTGCAAATACTGAAAAACTGTCACTTTCAGCCCTGACAGTGATGTACCGTAGCACTGACAACACTGACACCGGGTTCACTGATGCTGTGAATTCACCTGGCACCGTCAGTGTTGTCAGTGCTACGGTGCGTCACTGTCGGTGCTGACAGTGCACAGTTTACTGAAACTGCGCATCCCTAGACAAGACGAAATGATTAGAGTTTAGATTAAAATCTCGGTTCCGAAATTTATATTCCTACAAAGTTAAGTAAGAGATGGTAGCTAATATAAGCGTGAAATATTATAGAGTTACTGATAATCTTGAGGGTGTGGGTGTGGGTGTGGAAGAAGAGTAGTCCGTACCTATACATCCGCGCCTACATTCACCCACACCCACCCGCTCACACCCATCCTCATCTATACCCTGGATAACCACCTCGATCGTGCCGAGCTTCTCGAAGGATTCTCATTTCTGATGGCTTCAAAGAAATAAGCTCATCAGATTGTCGCTAATATTTTTACACATTTTACTCGTTATGTCTTCTAACATTAATAAACTTCAAGTAAAATTTTTCCGGATTACTTCACATCATCGATTAGAGTAAGCACCGAGACAAATAGGGAACGTACAGTTTCAATAAATTATTCATTGAAACATTTACAAATACAACTAAGTTTCACTTAATGGAATTATTTCATTATAGCTTGTATATTTACTGAAAGATATTTCGAAAGACGCTAATGAAATAGAGTACATACACAAATTTCACTTTTTAGTAAAATATATTTCTAATAAAAAAACTTTATTTTAGACCACAACAAGCAAAATATATTGATAAAGTAATGATTCCACAAGAAGATCATCCAGAAGTTAATTTTGTGGGTTTAATTATTGGACCACGTGGGAATACATTAAAAACATTAGAAAAAGAGGTAGGGTTTTATTTAATTATTTCTATTATGTTATAAAATAAAAAGTTATTTTATTTATTTTTAGACAAACGCCAAAATCATTATTAGAGGTATAAAATCTGATTTTTGTAGATTTTCAAAATTTCAATCTAATTTTTTTCAAGGTAAAGGATCAATCAAAGATGGAAAGATGGGTTTAGTCAAATTTGGTCCATTACCAGGTGAAGATGAACCATTACATGCTTATATAACTGGTACATCACCTGAAATTGTAGCTAAAGCTGTTGAAAAAGTAAATCATTTAAAATTCCTATTGAAAATTCTTTTATCTTTTTTTTCTCAATTCTTTTAGGTAAATGAAATAATAAATCAAGCTATTGATGAACCGGAAGGTATGAATGAACTACGTAAACAACAATTAAGAGAATTAGCTTTACTTCATGGAACATTACGTGAAAATGATTGTCTTATGTAAGTTAATATATTTTTTATTTCGATGAATTATGAACTATTTTTTCATTTTTAGTAAACTTAAATTAATGACCGAAGCAGAAAAAATTGTCACAAATACAATCATATGTACAATATGTGGTGGAGCTGGACATGTTTCAGGTGATTGTAAATTTCGTAAAAATCCTGATGGTACATATGCAGAATTAAATCCTGATGGATCACTTATGATTGCTGGACAAAATCGAGTTGAACAACAAAAATTAGATTGTGAAGTAAGATTTGTAGAAAAACAATATTGAAAAACTAAAGAATATTTGTTTTTTGTATTTTTAGTATCAATCATTAATTAATGAATTAACGGGTAAAAAAGATACTGATACAAATTTATCATTAGAAGATCGAAAGGGTTTAATGAGTGGATCAAGAACAAATGGACCAACTTTAGCAATTACAGGTGGAAATCCAGGAACAAATAATGCAGCTGCTGTTCCTACTACATTTAATGCGACTACTAATAATAATACACCAACGAATACTAGTAATGATTATGTAAGTAATATATATAACGACTGAATTGTAGACCGAGATTATTGCTAATGAAAACTATAAACTAGACTAATAGATCAGTAACTCTATTTGATAAAATGAATATTGAGCCGGTAGAATCCAAGAAAATATAAACACTAGCATTTTATTTGTTTATATTCATTTGGTATCTCAATTCGATTCTTTCATATAAAATCTGTTTTCATCGATCAATTAAGAACTTTTTAACATTGAATATTTCATAAAACTGCATATACATGTTTTTTCTTCTTTTTAGAATCCTCCATCATTGATGTCTCTCAATCCAAATACTAGTTCAACTAATCAGCCACAAGCAGCATCATCAAATTATTGGAGTAATACTGGTCCTCGTTATAATAATAATGATGTATTTGATGGTCATTATCTACTTCGACGAAATAATCGAAATAATAATTATTCGTCATATATCGAAGGTGATTCATATCGAGCTCAACATATACCAGCTTTAATGGAAAATGGAGGAAATAATAGTAATGCAAATTCATCAACAACAACACCAACAACACCATGGTCTAATCCTCAATATTCTCAACAGCAACAACAACAACAACAGCAGCAGCAACAATGGAATCAATGGAACCAATATAATACTGCTATGTATTATCAGAGTGTTTATCAACAACAATATTATCAAAATAATAATACTGGTTTTACACCACCATTACCAAAAACAGCACCTCCACCACCACCGCCACCACGTTAAGAAAAAGAACTTTGTATTTTCTTTTCTTTTTCTATTCATGTAATTCGTCGTTTTTTTTTGTTTTCTTCTTTTCTAAACAACCCGAATCGTATTATTTGTGAGTGTGTTCTCTCGATATGTTTGGTATATAAAAATATCTGTCAAGTACGATTAGAAAAATATATTGAAACAATATCTCATGACTTTGAAATATCAAGTAAATGAACTTTAAATATAAAATTTATTTTGCAATGATAAACGTAAACAAGAATTACGTCAACATAAGGTTGTTGTCGTTTTTGAAGGTGTGGGTGTTCATTGAGGGGATAGCTACATATACATTCACTTCCATACCCACATCCTTTTTGATAAAAGAGCCTTATTTTATGTTTAAAGAAAGAAAAAAACAAAAGATTATTTACATTTAAGAAAAATTTAGTTTTAAAAAATTGAATTAAAACAAATGATATCAGAAAATAGTTTCATTTCAATATCATCATTTTGTACATGTACATTTATTAGTCTAATATCTAAAAACTTGATTTTAATAGCAAGTTTATAGCAAGAAATTCTTGTATTAAATGAATATTTCTCAATTTATTACTATAATAACTGAATTCTTTCGATCAATTTTATTTTATTTAAAAACTTCCTACTTGAAATCTGGTGGAAAGGGAATCGAAATCTTTTTCTAAAATTAAGAAAACTTTATTGAAAAGTATGAAATCAAAAGTATTATAGTTTATGCGTATTCTTTAATGTTTGTTTTATAAGCGCAATATCGTTAATAAACGAGTATAATGTCAATAAATAAATTCAGTTTAGTTTAGCAGTCGATTTTAACATTGTATGAGAACACCAACGTCGTTCGAACCATAGTTTGCGACAATAATATCCGGTTTACTGTCACTATTCACATCAGCTACTGCTGTTGAGTATGGATTAGTACCAGATGCATAAATAGTTTGAGCAAGAAATGTACCAGTGCCTGCATTGAGAAGAACACCAACGTCGTTCGAACCATAGTTTGCAACAACAATATCCAGTTTGCCATCACTATTTACATCGGCTACTGCTACTGAGTATGGATTAGTATCAGTTGTATAAGTAGTTTGAGCAAGGAATGTGCCAGAGCCTCCATTAAGAAGAACACCAACGTTATTCGAACCATAGTTTGCAACGATAATATCTGGTAAGTTGTCACTATTCACATCAGCTACTGCTACTGA